ACTCCAAACTCCCACCGAATGACACTAAAGTTCATTTTAACGAGCTTCTGTAATTCCCATTTCTCCAATAAAAACGTAAAAAATTCTTAATCACGCACCAGCAAATACTGCTAATTTCGCACAACAAATTTTCAATAACTATAATTGGACGGTACGATATCTAGTCTAGGACGCAAGTTAACTACAGAGAAATAACACTATAAAAGAAAAAACTAATAAACGACGTTTCTGCTGACCCCTGACTGAGAGGATTCGCTTAAGGTCCTCTCTACTCGTAAAACTCCATTTAACAACATCAAAATATAGTTCCCAGAATATCTCAAACGGAAAATAAAAGACAGCATTTCAAATAAGCCCCCATGATGTTTATCAGCATTATTTATTGACCTGTCTCTTCGTGAATTAATTTGAATTTATTATTCAATAATGTATTAAAATTACGGAGTCATAATCACTTGGACTAGTGGGAAAGAAGAAACTTGAGGAGTCACATATGTGAGAGGTAAAAATATGCCGAGTGTTGAAGAGAGTGGGAGATTCCGTTCAGTTATCTTATCCCGTTTGGTGTCGAGTTGTACGAGTTTGGAATACGTCCGTGTCCTTTCAAGATTAAGTTCCCGAAAATATATTTAATCTACCAAACGTGACGATTTCTTTTCCCATCGATGCTTCAACGCCTTCATTTTCCATAGAATTTCAGTTCGACATTACGGCCCGGCCTTGCCCGGATCTAGTGATTTTTTCCCGCTAGAATTCCCAGGCTTTAAAAAATTGTTCAGTCCGTACGAGCCAAATGAAACTAGTCCGAAGTGATTTTGGAGATGATTTGCCATTGTAATGACGATTTTAAATTGCGAGGTGGCACGGCGCCATCTTTAAACTTCACGCGACGGTGGGAAGGGGTAACCGAGCAAAATGGTGGCGTTAGTATCGGTTGTTATGATATTTTAAATATTTATGGAAGGCTTTTATCCTCTTGGGATCACTTCTTACTCCATTTATCATGTTTTGATGGAATAATGAATTTTATACCTGTCAAGCTGATATTTTTATCAATTTTTCGCCGAGAATTCGTGGCGCAAAGTTTCCCTCGTATTTAAATAGTTCTTGTTTAATCCCAAGACCTCTTAAATATCGTTCTATTGCTCTTCAAGTGACACAGGATGCTATATTTTTCAACGTTAACTTGTTGAAGAATAACTCAATCGACAACATCCTGGCACAAACTTCTCCAACGAACTTTTAAATTCGTTATTCGCATGGGCTAGGATGCCGAAACAATGAGTTTTATTAATGGCACTACACTCTACTCAGCAGAATTACCCATTACTCGAGTGTAAAAATCAGTTCCATTAAAATAAAACTTGACGCTAACAGTAACTCCAATAAATTTTCATTGAACAAAGCTCCAAACAGAAAATCCTCACAAAAAATTCGTCTGAAGGAATAGATTCAAGGAATTTTCCACAATTTCTATTAGAAAAGCTCGAGAAGAAAATTCGACATAGACTTCTCCGAAATGTTTCCCTCCATCAGTTCGAATAATATTCACAAAATAATCCATACAAATTTTTCAAAAAAGCCCCTGTCTCACCACCTCGTCGCAAAAATGATTAAAATCTGTTTGAGCCCAACGAGAAAGGTTCACAAAGACTGATGTCCATTCGCGACAGGATACTCATCCATCACCCCTTCTCCACCGCCACTTCACTCATTCATCATAAATAGATAAAAAAAAAAAGCATGTCCAGAGAGAAAAAAAACATCCGAAATTTATTCAAATCGACTGACGCACCGGGAGGCCGCCGAAACCGCCTGTCGTTACATTATGAATAAATAATAAACCACCGGAATAAATAATAGCCAAGACACAATGGGGGAATTTATAGTTTCTCCAAGACTCGATCGACAGAATATTATAAGTGAAATTCTTATTATTTCACAATTTCCAAGACTATTCCAAAAAATGTGGCCTTTTTATGTTCTGACAGAACACATATTTATTCGAATAATTCTGACAAATATTTAAAACTTTTAAAAAATTCAATTATTACATGGAAGAACTCATCTCTTCTCCTGGTATCGCGAGAAGATAAGCGTAATCAATGGCTTGATAGTCTCCAACTAATCCCACCTCATAACAAACATATAATTCTATTCTATAATTTCATTTACTCGGCAAAAATCTTAATTATAAATTTCTTGACACTAAAATCACCCTTGGGAAAAATAGAAATGATAAAAGATTCGATTTTTTTCTATTAATTTGAATTGATCTTGTTTTCTCGGTGTTAACCGACCCGGAACGATTTACCGATTGCAAAAGTATCGATTGCTCCAGGAGACGAGGACCAAATGTCGTACGGAAATTCAAGTAATATCGGTACTAGTATGAAATTTTAGATGATTCCCTCCGAAGAATGAAGTTTCATAAGATTTGAGCGGCGGTGAAGATGCGGCAAGCATTCATTGGCCTCTGGGATTTTATCGGTTAAACCGATCTTCGTTTCCCCTTGAATAACCCACGGTCAAGACACTCTTCTCCACACATAGGAACCCGGTGAGAATAAAACGATGATACCAACCGAGGTGGAGTGTTTCTCGACAAAAAAAAAAATGAAAAATAAAAATAAAATAAAAACAGCCCAGTAGACTCGATTATTCGGTGTCTAAACAAACTAGAGAGACCAGATTTCTTCTTCGCCTCTCTCGCTTCTCCCTGAGGAGGTGGCCAACTCCAGGAGGTAAACCTTAAGTTGTTGTGTGTAAACTCAAACACAAGGATACCTTAACAAGGACCTCGTTATCATATTTTATTACCGAGGCTTCTCTCGTACCGAGGAACGCCGGTGAAACTATACTAACCGTGAAGTAAAAGTTTGACTCTTGGAGTTACAAAGAGGCTGAGTGCACCAGCAATTGATATATGGATGTTTTTTTTTATAATCTCCAGTATTTCTGGTGATTCCTCTTTCCGAGAAAAAAATTGTCACCCTTTCTGGCGAGATTAAGGGATTTTTTCCTTTGCGAAATGTGCGACGCCCCGATAAACGATTTTATTATCGATATTTTTATTGAGATAATGCAGTTGGAAATTCGTAATTGTTATTAATATTATAATAAATTCATCATTATAATTTTTATTCGCGAATCTTTCTGTCATCGTGAAAAAACTAATTAGTGTGGTGAATACGTGGTCTCACAAATTTGATAATGTGATAAGAAATCATGATTTTATCTATTATTCCTGTCGACAAGTCATTACGTGCATTGAGCTGGGGATATGCCCACCGCGTACCATATATTCCTCCATGAATATAAACACGTAGGTGGGTGTATACATGGAGGGATAACATAAAGGACCACGAGAATACACCACCAGCCCCTGGAGGTGTAATGGATCGTAAATTTTTGAGTCGACCAGACGTCAGGAAAAAGAACGAGAGAAAGAGAAACAGTGGTTCCCTGACCTGCTATCTGCCCACTGAATTTTTATTCTACATCCACAGAAAAAAATCATTCCTTTTTGGAATATTCAAAAAAAGAAAAACATTTCAATCCGAAATAATTATTCTATCTTGTTCCATTGGAAATTGGAAAATCTATTTACAAAAAAATATGAGTGGAGCAGAATAAACATTTTGTAATTCTCATATTGTATCCATTCCGCACCTCTTGACGCCACTCAAAATTTCCAATAAACTAGAATTTCAGCGATTCTGGGATATTCAATCCCTTGAAATTGTCCACGTATGTAGGTCAGTCCACAATAGTCGTGTAATTAAAAAAAAATGTGTTCAATACCCAGGAAGATTAAAATACTTTCTTTTCTTCCACTCGAACTGATATCAACTGATATACTCGAGTGAGTTCTTCCTAAGATATTATTATTATCATGTTATCACTAACTAAATGTTCATTTAATTTACAGAAGATATCAAGTGTTACCTCCCATATCTCCATGAACATTGACAGCGATAAACAATTAAATTATCCGAATTATCAAGTAAATTCCCCCATAATAAATTCTCATTAGCCCCATTCTCATCCCGTGAATTGTAGAAAGTGCGGAGGTATCCTCCGAGGCACGTGAAAATAGTTGGAAAAACCTTAATGAAAATACTTGAGAAAATTGGCAAAAGCATCTGAAACCGCAGTGGCATTAACCGAATGCAGAGAGAGCGGAAATGAAGGTGACACAGCGCGCAAAATTGAACGTCAGTTGACTGACGGAGTGACGGAGGGGAGAAAACGCGAATACCCCGGGGGTACAAATGCGACATAACGAGGAGAGAAAGCTATAAATTGAAGTGAGACAGTTTGGCAAAACATCGAGGAGAATTTGCGAGGGGTGAGGAGATTGCAACCCACTAATTCGAGTGTTTCAGGTGTTGAGCCGTTTGTGTGCAATTGCAATCCACCGAGCCGGACATTTTTCGCGGCCCACTGATCCGAATGCGAATTATACCTAACCGTGAAAATCATTCAGGGGGAATTTGACATTCCGCAATATTTCATCAAGCATTTTGTCAACTCGTGTGCGCATCAATCCTATCGTACGCCGGTATGACTCCTGTCTCCTATCACCATTTTTTTTCTCATCGTGTATTCATACTTGATTAATCCACCATGGAATCGCCAATATCATCGCGCTTTATCGCAGAATTAAATTCAGAGAATCGATTTTTTAACGAAAGACCGCGGAATTTTTTATGGGATTCTACGGACTCGCGAAATATCGCGGTGAATTTTTCCGGTGTAATATTTACCGGGTGTAAATTAACGTTCTGATTGACGTAATCTTTACAAGGGATAGATTCCGATGAAAGATTTTTTCAGGATGTGAAAAGAATGTAGAAGACTTGGTATAATTGATCTTACTGAGAATATTGAATGATTCGTCAGAATATTTTTTATCCTGAGTTCAAAAAATCGGAGTGACACGCGAATCGCTTGTAATTTCCAAATCTACAGGAATAAAACTCATGCAATGAACTTACCCATCAATTTCCGGACTTCCGTCTGACTGAGAAAAAGATTGAAGAATCCATATCCCGGTTTGAGAACGATGAACAGAAACGCCAGTCTCAGAAACATCATGCAGCCAGCGAAACCCACGTGTTTCCGTTGCCGAACTTCCACCGCGTGTTGATGCGCGCACTGATTTTTTTTTGTTTATCAAAAATAAAATGAAAAAAAAGAAAAAGTCCACGCACAATTCACAGAACTCACAGCACCAAAACCACACGACCGGTTTTTCACCTCATTTCACCATTTCGTCCTGTCCCGCGGATGTTTACTCCCTCCTTTTTTCTTTTAAATAAAAAAAAAGAGCTTTTGTTGTCGAATGAAAAGTTTAGCTCGATGCGAATTCAAATATTCCCGCACACTGGTTTATCACAGACGCTCGAACGAGTACACCAGCAAAACTGGTGTGTATTTATTTATTTGACAGTTGATTTTCAATGGCTCCACGTGCCATCACCCACGTGACAACACAATGTTAATGCACACAATGATGATCAACAGGTTGGATTTTGTTGGTTTGTATTGTTGATATTTCACTTGTTCTTGGGGATTGAAATGTTGATGGTGTACGCTGTGGGAATAAGGGAGTGTTGTTGCCTCGTGAAAGCCACAACCAGTTCTGCTACAGCCGCCATCGGTCGACCAGGGTCGACTCAAGCCTGCGTATTAAACCGAGTGTTACCGAACCAACCCGACCGTCAACGAGCACAAGAGAGAGATCAACTCCCACTTTTTTTTATTCTTATTCTCAAATATTTTTTTTTTCTTTTATTTTTACTACATCGTTGCAGTTCCTCTTCTTTCACCAGAGAGAACAACGCGAGAGGCAATTTCTGTTTGTGATCAATGGTTTTATTGGAGGGATTGTCGGTTTTCAGAGAGAAAATTTGCTCGTTACGCCTATTTTCACTGCGAGATCTTTTTTATTTTTTTATTTTTTGGTTCTGAATGGAAGCATTGTAATCGTTGAAATCTGATTTGTTCTGGATTCTTTGGGTTAGGTCGAGAAATTATGTTCGTTGTAGTCAGGTTGGACTTATTTAAAGTTTTAACGATTTATATCGACGTGAGGAAATCTTGATTTCATTAATTCAACAATCTATTTATTTTGAAAAATGTTTACAGTGCATTAATCAACCAATCGTTCCCAAAAATTATTGACTAAGGAATTCCTCATGAGATAATCATTTTTTTATAATTTTTGTGGATTCTTCGATGAAATAATTAATTACTGTTCTTCTGTTGCTTCTCGCGAGGATTGATCGACACACATTTGATGAAGTCCGTCACTGGCGCAATAACAAAGTTTATTTCCAACGACTTTTGGTGGTCCAGGCTCACACACTGGAGGTAACGGAGGTGTTAAAGCCACCGTAGCTAATAAAAAAAAAGAATATATTTGAAATGATTCATAAATTGCAATTGTAAAATGACCTCGCATCTAATCAGTTCAATTGAATCTAATCAATTTGATGTTGATAACAAATGCAATATCAAAAATTGTTTTTATAATTATTTTGTACATAAAAAAACCTCACACATGAAATCTGATACAGTATTATCAATAATTCTTCATCAAATTGTTGTAATTAAAAAGAAAGATGCGATAAAAAATATGAATTTATTCTCCTAAATATTTTTTTTCTAGAATTATTCCTTTAGGAGAATGATCGGATTTACTTACCCGCAACTAGAACAACGAAAAATATAAATTTTACTAACAACGACATGTTTTCTTCAACTTGTAGCTTCACAAAGTTGGCGAGCAAGTCTGAAGTGGAATTATATATAGCCCAGGGAACAATAAAAATGTTCATAATTTTATTAGTCTGTCACCCTCACTTCATCCGATTCCTCGATAAAATCGAATATTTATTGCAGTTGATAATGAATGTATGGAAGAATATTCAGGCCACCTCATATTTTCAACCCATCGCTTCGTCATTCCACAGTATGAATTTTCCCATTTTATTTGAAGTCTCCACATAAAAATTGACAAGAAAATTTTTTTTTCTGCAATAGTTAATATAAATCTGTGAATATATCCTGATTCGAACAAAATAATAAAATGCAAGAATGTTGCCATGAATTTTGACAAAAATGGAAAATTATTTTTTCATAAATATTAAATAAATAAATAATATAGCAACTGGACTTCTGAAATATTCAATACCGGAGTATTTAGACCTCTCGGATCTCTTTTTCATCATGATGTCCATGGTAAGCCCTTCGACCCACCCAAAGAGGGATTTTCAGTAAGAAACCTCTCCCAGGAGGAATTCTCAAACTTCAGACCGGTGAAGTAACAGGTTGTTCATTTCTATCCGTTGTATCTTAGAGGAGGAATTTTCCATTCCACTCAATTTCCATCTATGTCATCTCATCTTTTACTCTAGCAATCGCTCGAGGCTGCACCTCACCCCAACATTTTTACGACCACTTTAGTTGATACATCAACGATTTTTCGGGGAACATGTCGCCAATAACCCGGGGATTTCAGCCGTGAAAAAAATATCAACGTACAATCGACTGCTAAAAAAATGTATTTTATTGCGTTTTTTATCGGTTCAACATGAGGCGGAATTTTTTACATTCTCAATGTTTTTTAGCGACGTCTGAATGTCGAGAATGACTTCACTGTTGGAAACTTAATAAATAAATAATAAATTGTGAAATTTAAATTACGTGATGTCGAATTTCTGTAGAATTCTTCATTGACGGATAAGTTAATTGAAAATGGCTTTAATATTCTGGTGATTTTCTATTTTCAGGCTCATATAGTATTCCGCAATTCCTCTGAAATGCAAAATCAATTAGAATTTAATATGTAAAATTTAATTCACGATCCAGAGAAATATTAATTAAAGTTTCCTTGGATGAATTAATTTGGTAGAAATATAATAATTATTATTGTTCCCAAGGGAATAATTCCGCAATTTATATTTACCTCAATTGCCCAGTGTACAAAAATTCTAAGAGACATCTCAACTCGATTTATCGATTTTCTTATCCTCCCTCGGAAGTCCTGATACTCGATACAACGAAATGTCGATCAGATTCCTCCATGATTGCATTGAACTGAAGAAGATTTTTTCATACTCCCCAAAAATATTCCAATCCCCACGCAACTCTATCCCTCACGCTCGAAAAAACACCCTCCACACCACGTGATGACAGGAATAAAAAAAAAAAATATTAAAACTGGAAAATGGAAGATTAAAAACCACCGATGAAAAAGTTTCCAATGATAAAATTTGGAAGTAAAAATGAACGAAAAAAGAGTTCGAAACACGTGAATTCATTTTTCATTCTCACATTTGAAAAGCTAGAATTGTTTCGTTTATTTTTATCAGAATTGCAGTGCAGTAGATCGTCTGATATTTTAGGCAGTCTCATTTGTTGCCTTTTTTCATAAATATGGGAGAATATCCTAATCTGAACAGGTATACGTGTCTATTCACTGATTTCTGACTGCCTTCAAGTAATTTCTACTTGAGCAAATGTTCAAACATCATTAGATTAGACGAATAATCACCGTCTTAAGCGTCCAAACGTGTTCGCATTACATTAATAAGTGGACAGACTATTAATTGAAGAGATAACGACCCAATCAGGGTAATTATAATCACATGTGTCATCAAAAACTGAATCCGAATTAAATTCCGATTCTGATAACGCTGAGGCAATCGCTACAGCTTGCGATCATGAATTTATTATGAGCATTTAATTTTCAGGTAAAATTTTTTCAGAAGGGCAGAGTCAGGGGAGATTCTGGGGATAATTTTCACCCGTCAACGGAATAGTCAACTTTGTGCTCTCTTCTACGGTATTCCTTCGTTTCCATCACTCTCACTTGGATCCTGAAGCTATTAGAACACTGAATTTCAATCATCTGACATTGAAGTTTCATGCTGTTGATGGACGGAATCGATTATCTGGTTATTAAACCGATCGACAAGAGAGACCTGGACAGTTATCCGATGTGATGGAATATAATCTGTGGAGATGAATGCATCGATGAGAGGCAATTTCTCTTCAACCGATTTTGAATACGAGGCATGAACGAACTCTGATTGATAATTAGTAATTAATTAGACACAAACATGAACGAAATCGCAAAATTAAAAATATCTTACTGATGTCATATCGCAAGAATTAAATCGTGGTCGACTTCAGACGAGAAATCGGTGTGTATTTTCAAAATGGGATAATATCCCTTAAAATTTTTTCGTATTCCCCGAAAATATTCCAATCCCAACGCAACTCTATCCCTCACGCTTGAAAAAGCACCCTCGACATCATGAAAATTGAAGATTAAAACCCAACGATGAAAAAGGTTTCGAATGAAAAAATCGGGTAATGAAAAAGAAAGAGACGAGAAAGGCAATTTTTCGTTTTTCATTTGAAAAAAGTGAGACTTGTTTATTTTAGAAGAATTGTATGCACAGTGGATCGCGTGAAATAGTAAGTTGTACGATTTATTGACATTACTGGAGTAACTTTACTATTTTTTATAAATCGGTAAGGATATCCTGATTGGAACAGCTGTACGTCTCTCCGAATAAAAAGCACAGACATGGGTGTCCGTCCTCATCTTCATAGATATATCCGGGTTTACAAATTTTTGAAAAATCGAGATCGACTGCTACTCTCGCCCTTACAACTAGAAAACAAAGTCAATGTCTTATTAATAATGTAACCTATCAGTAATTAATTCATAATTTACTTTATTAATCATCAAAGTGTTGATTATGGAAATTAAAAATTCATTTAGAAAAAAATAATCCACCTGTCGCATAGCAAATAAATTATCAAAAATATTATTGCAGTACATAAGAAACAATTCGCTGTATGAGAGAAAAAATATTATTAGTTGACTCACCAATGAAAGCAATTGCCAGAATTATAAACTTCCAGAGAATGTTCATTATTCTTTAATGTCTCTTGGCTTAGGATCTACTTCACAGAAGCAACTTGGCAATACTGAATATTCAGCCTTCAAGTAATTTCTACTTGAACATATGTCTCGACATTACTGAATCGAAAAAAACATTACGGCATTTTAAATAACCAAGGATCTTCGAATTATGATGATAAGTTAAGAAAAATGTACATTGGATAAAGAATGACGCAATGGGAGTGAGGATACACACTTGTGTCATCCAAAATTTGAGCACACGTTGATTCTTATACTGATAAAGCTGATATAATCGCTCCACAGAAAAAATTACACTTAAGATACGAGATTTAGAACGTTATTTACAGGATTTCTGAATATGTAGTCTGAACATGATTTTCAGTGACTTTTCTTCAACATTTTTCCAAATGTTATCGGAAGGATATCCTGTTGAGGCTGGCACGAAGTGTAAGAATACATCAAGAAATTTGAAAGATTCATGAGATCAAATTGGATGAATGCCCCCCGCTTCCACAATTTTTCTCAAGTATCTTGTTTTCAGTTACAAAACCGGACGCGTCTGATTGCCAGAGTCAGTCATTAGCCGATAGGGTAACCGTAAACCGAGGAAATGAAAACGTCGAGATTCACAACGAATGGAGAGAAAAGGAAGAGCCCAGAGGATTCATAATGAAAGTGAAAAAACGAAGACATTCACCAGCTAGCGAATAAACGTCCCAAGAGTTCAATCTGATACTCGTTTTACAAATTTGTCGAATGATTGAAAGAACCGTTTAAATTGAAACGAAGAAAATTCTTTTCCTTCGGTATATAAGATAATTATTGATGAGATGGAAATTTTATGGTTTTGAAAATTCCACAAGACAGTAATTTTAAAAAATAAAATAAAAGTAGAGAGAATAGTGTAGAGGAAAGAAGTCAGTCTGATGCTTACCGATTATGCGATTTCGGACGGTTGTATGCACAGTCGCTCGTCTGCATTTATCGACCAGAGTCCATCCAATTCTCGGCAATCTCGTTTTATTTTTTCATCCCTTGTATCCCCTCTCCATTTCTCCGACGATATTACCGCAGATGATGTATAAACTGCACGCAAATCCCATTGGGAGCCTGTCATGGTTTTTTGTCTGTTGTGGGAGAATTCAATTTTAATTCTCAGGGGCTATCCCGGTTGCGTGTATTTGACAGAAATTTATATGTAGTGGTTGTACTTCTGGGTGGGAAGTTATGTGGATGGAAAATGGGATTTATTTAGTTCATTTGGTAGAGATATCTCTTTTTCCACTTTTTTCGTATCACATGGATTGTCATGACGTGCATTGTGAGAGGAATCGAATGAATTTCGATTTATTGGAATACTTGACAATGTTCTGGGTTTTTCATGGAATTATTACCTTTTTATTTAACCCACATCCTCTGATATGTTATAAATTTTTGTTGGAAAGAAATTTTATTATCTGATGACTCTTGCTGTTTCAAGTCAAATAATTTTTTTCGTTGAGGAATAAATTAAAATAATCCTTGAACATTTTTGGAAACTATTTCACTGAAGTCTTCCGGCTGTTTGAGATTAACAAAGTACCTTCAAAGAGGTAATGAAAATTTTTTGAAGCGTGTGACAAAATCTCCCTGTAATTTCCTTGATTTTTTATTTTTATCAGACAAATAATATCTACACCCGCATTTTGGCCCATCGCTGGAAATGAAATATCGATTAAACATTTTCATTTCCCTCCAACTGTGAAGTACGAAACGTCGTATTCATGATTATTACATTTAATTTGAATCTGCGCAGTTGGCTGGAACAGATACAAATTCCTCTCGCGCTGTTATTTACTCTCCCATTAAAATATTCCTTGTTCCACCCTCTCACTCAATATCATTGTTTAAAATTTTAATCTGAATTCCCAGCAAGGCAGGGATGTATGAACGTGTCTCTCGGTTATTATTTTATTTTTTTTTGTATTGGAATTAATGCGTGGAAGCCGCGACGCTTTAATCTAGAGCAAATAACGCGATATGCGTTACTAGCGGCTTAAATCAGAGGAGTGGAACACGTGAGGGAAGAGATGTGAATAAAGGGAAGTCTTTGTCGGGGCCTCTAATCTGGACAAACAGCCGTATATCAGACTGCACTCTAACTCCAATCTACTCTCTACTTTTCACGATCCGGTGTTGTTTGAGGTAATAATCGTACAGTAGCTAGTGTTGAGGATCAGAAGAAATTTGTGCGTCAAGAGGATGCTAAAAATATAAATCGTTAATAATAATTCTATCACTCCATTGCCCAGGCTCCCTCTCAAATCCCCTCTCAAAATCAAATATATTTTATATCAGCACGAATAAAAATGATTATAATTATCATAAAAATCTTCATTTCGATCATACTAAATCTACAATTTGATCACTTGATTATTCATTTCAATTCAATGTTTATTTATGTGTTCTTGATAACTTCAAACATTTTCTAAGGATGGAACATAAGTTGAAATAATTTTCCTCCCTTCACGCCAAAAAAATAGCGAAGGGCATCTTCACATGGCAATTCATCCAATTTTTCCATACGATAAATACGAATAGTTCACGGCCATTAATTTTAATTGAACGACTTGCTGATGTCTCGAATAACATCATTAAAATATCACCACGTAATTTGCATGATTTTTTCACAATAAAAAAAATGGGAAAAGGCCTTTGAGAAGAAGCATTTTACCATTCAGTGTGGAGTTAAGAATTTTTCCGAGCAATCTCCCCTGAAAAATAACCGGGAATACATATTTACCCAGAAAAACAGTTTATTCTGTGATGAAAAGGAACGCCGATTTCAAAGGCTGCCACACGGTATACGTAATCACTCACTTCATATACATTCTTTTTGCGAAGAAGTAACGAGTGTAAACTTGCCCAGTGACTTTGTATAAAAAAAACTCCTACCCCCAGCACTTGGATTACATATTCATAATAAAGTGCGGATATTGTTTGCCCTGGAAAATATGGTGAAGGAGCAAGTGCCGAGGGCTTTTTTGACCTATCTTGAGCAGTAGCTGACTTTTCAGCTTCTGCTAGCCGTTCTTCAACGCGATCGCTGACTTCAGGGCCTCCAATTAACGCTTACCTCATATCTTCCTTTCAAAATCATTTGAAGAGCTGCCGCTCCTCAAAGGGGCCACGCAAATATGCATTAGGCTATTTTACAGTCTCCCTTTTTCATCTTAATTATCTTCTCCAAAATACATTAAATTGCATAATTGCGGCATTAAATCGAGTTAAAATCTGTTTTTTTATTTCAGAATAGATCTCCATGGAAATCGCAAAAGACAAAAACAGACCAAAGTTATTAGGTTAAATTAAACCTATTAGGTTGGTCGGGTTTTAACCGATTTTGGATATGTATTCTATTTTTCATGGCCAATTTTCTTTTTTTCTTCTGGATAAATAAATAGCTAGATGATGAGGAATTGATGTCATGATTATGTTTTCTATTATGATTTTTTTGATGAATGTTATTTTGACAGGTAACCCGTAATATACCGTCATTTTATCGTCTCGTGTTGCCCCACCAATTCTCGAGAAAATAAAAAATATATTCCCCCATCACTCCCCACAATCGAATTGAAATTGCTAATTAAACTTTTCTTTCCCCCGAAACTCATTAAATCAAACGCAACATTGAGTATGATTCGAGCCTTGATTAAACGGAATAATTAATCAGATCAAACGTATCCAAGAAAACATTCAGCATCAAAGCCAAAGGCGAGCCGTTAAAAATTCCCCCAAAGAAATCCTCCCTCTGGGGGTTCTGTTTATCTTCTCAAAAAAAAAGGATCATTAAAAAAATTCAAGACGAAAAACTTTATTCAATTACCTGTTTCGTAAATCACTGAGGCGTACATTCGCAGGCGAGACGTCGTGAAAGGAGTTTAACAAGTAAAAAGTAAGTTAAAAGTTGAGAAGGCAGTCTCTTATGAAAAGATGGAGGAAAAAAATCATTCACGCGGAAAATTTGTGTCCTCAGTGTACGGTTTAACACTCTTGGGTATTTTCACATCGTTTGACTTTCCCTAGGACTTCTGAGAGTTGAGATAGAGAGGGAAAAAGGCTGGCAAGTCCTCCAGAGAGAATCCCTTCGGTGATGAAGAGGCGCAAAACGATGAAATGGCATGGAAATTTCCAGTTACTGTCAAAATCTCACTGACTCCACTGAATTAAATTTTTAATTAACTAATCATCTCATTATCCCATTGACTCCATCAAATGAAAATTAATTACTGTCACATATCCCGAAAAAAGGGAGACAGTCTCATAAAATTATTCTTCAAATTGAGCATTAAAATATATTTTCCATTCACAAGATCGATATTGAATTTGGCAATACTATTTTCATTCATCTCGATTAATTCGATATAATTTTTTAATGTCTAAAAAATGAACAGTAAAGAGAATTTTTTTAATAATATTGAAAAAATAAATAAAACGTTCTTTTGAGAATTGATTTCACGAGCAAATGACACGTCGACTCCAGTACTTGCCAACCCCTCGGGAAATGTTCACAGATTAAAGTTGAAGGGAGTGCGAGGGATAAACGAGAGGTGAAGTATAAGGTAAAAAGTAGTGGGGATGGACAAAAGAGGTTGGCAGTACTTTGGCCTAACAAGAGTCAGGGACTCAGGGGCTATTATCATAATTGTGGGTTGCAGGCAGCGACTGTGCCCACAAACCAGAATGCCTCGCCTCATCATCCACCGCTCTTCGTTTATGTGCACTGGCTGTTGCCTTCCTTCTTGCATTTTTTTTTACACGTAACAAATAAAAAATACTTATTTTCTCTTATACTCTTATCTTAACTTTTATTTTTCAACTCACCCTCGGTCCTTGTTCACCTCCCACTTGGCGACTGGGAGGCTCTCACTTCAGTCAGCTGCGGCACCTTATTTTTTTTTTCTCTTCCTCTCATTGGAATTTCACAATGGTACGAGGAAGATGGAGTGCCAAACGCACACGCTCGTTTTCTCCTCATCCAGTGTGCACTCGTGAACAATGTACATCCAGTTACTGGGATGATGGGTGGTATACATTCTGTAACGGACCACGTCGACACCGTGACACATTATTATTTTCATTTTCAAGAAGACCAACAGAGAGAGATGATTTGATTTTTCTTGGGATTGAAGTTTAGAGATCAATTTCGCTGGTTGATGTTCTACAGGGAATTTTGGAGAAATGATTTTGGTGTATAGGAACGCCAACAACATTTAATTGGATTATGATGTAATTCGCTAGAAATGAAACAACTTCATTGTCCTTTAATTCCCTGGTGATCTACATCATTCGATAATGTGTTGCGAGAATCGCTGATTCCATTCGTATTTACCTCGTTTGACTCCACATCGATGTTCGCCATCCATTTTATGGTGACGTGATATAGTCTGTCCACATGACGGGGTTGAATCACTCAGCAATCGCATTGAAAGCTTATCATGTGATGGAATTACAATTTGATTCATCACTCCATTTTCCAGAAATTATAGCTGTGATTTCATTCCATTTTGGCGAATGAATTCTCAGCACGCGCCATTTTTTTGTAAAAGGGCGGAATGAATTTTCATACTATTTTCCGATATGCTTTTGTCCCCTATTTTATTCGATAGCAATTATTTATTGAATGGTAATTTTACAGAATTTTCATTCATTATTGATTATTTTGGTATTCATTGAACAGTGGAATCAACTCCTGCAAATCATTTTTGTACAGTCGGGAATTCCACCCACCAGACAAGTACAGAAATTACATCCGTCTTTGTAAGTTTCTCCAGGTACGCACATATCTGCTTCCACGAGTGACATAGATCTCGCTTTAGGTCGTTCCTCGCAAAGTTGCCTCGTACACGCTGGTGTTCCATTATCCAAGCAGATGCAGTAATTGCATTCAATTTTGAATTGAGAGCCAGGAACACATTTTTTGTTGTAATCAGGTAGACTAGCAGACAGAGCAACTGAAAATTGAATGAAAGCACCAGTTGATCACAAAAAACTCATGACTAGGAATTTCAGGACACATTTTAATATGACGTATGACGAAGAAAACTTTACACCATGTAAATATTACCAAGACACTTAAAAAAAGTCGTTCATTCTCCGGAAACTGGAAGAAATCAATTACCATTAATTTAAGAAACGTAAGTAATTTTGAAAATTGTTCAAAAATGCGAGGTGGGCGCGCCGCCATTGTGAGAACCACCAGCGGCAGGAGATGGCGTAAACATGGCGTCGTGTGTCTATTTAAATAATCACATAGAGAAATTCCCTCGGGAAATTCATTATTTATTGAAGCAAATTGAATGAGTAATGAAATAGTAACTTACCTCCCACCACAAGCGCCAATACAACAATTTTGGAGATCATTTTGTAGATCGATCGTCTTCTGCAGAAATAATTAACCGATAATGAGCTGACTCCCTGGGTGATGATGACCAACTGCTCAACCTGTGATTAAATACTCTCCATATGAGCTGACTTTGTGGACATTGTGATCCCCAGATTAATTAATACGTAATTATACTCTCGAATGAGCGATCATCAGAGTCTCTGTTGTGTGCCGTGGCACGAATTTGATACGATATATTTGATTCAATATTTGTACATCCACCACAGATAGAACACGGGACTCCCCAATTCTCACCTGAAACAAAAAAAACATCCAGAGTAATAACGATAAGATTATTCCATAAACTTATCACAACCATGCAATCAGTTATCATTTTTTACACCTAATTAATGATTTATCACACCTGCATGCATAATTAACTCGAAATATTTCGAAATAAATATTCATTTTTTGAATCGATACTGTCGAGCTCATAATTAAAAACAGCATACAAGTAAAGTCAATAAAAAGCGTTTCGGGGGCAAATGAAGGGAGACACTAACGCGAAAAAAATTAAATGAAAAAATGAATCGGGCATTATTTTTTCGTGTTGAACCATCAAAAGTCTGATAACTCCATCCGAAAAACAATAATGACCCCAGATTTATGACGCACATGCTGTATAAATTTATGACAGAGATAAAAAAATAAGAAAAAAGGAAAGTAGATTTTTTGCGTGATCCTCGAGCCATGAAGTTCTCTTTTCACTCTCCCCTCAAGGCTGGTGATTAAATCCAAAAAGTAGTTTTGCTGCATCTCTCCCCGACATTAGACCACCCTGAAATCACGCTGGACGTGCGCCACCTATTCACTTTGATTTTTTATTTTCTCCACGTCTAGTTAATTTGGTGAACGAGAAGAGTTTCGAAATTCTGCCCAAGCCTACTGGGCAATTTAATTCCCACGATAACTCGCAATCTGGCAGCTCTTCTCGTTCAATGTCCCCACCAGATTATTGGTTTTCACAGACATTATTTCTTTTTTCTTTTCACTCACTCAAGGACCTTTTGAGTTTAACGGTTCACATACTTTCTCACTCTATTTCTCTTTTGATGATGTGTTGGACGGCAATTGGCAATGCCCACTTGCTGGGCTCCTCTTCACTTCAATGAGATTGCTAACTTCCTCCCACCCTTTTTCACCACTTTTTTTTAATTTTTCATCTGGAGCACTACCCTCTGGGGTATCGTAAAACTCGGGTGAGAAAAGTCACGTATGTTTTGACTGACGTGAGATGTGGAGTCGTTTATTCAGCTTTTTTTTTATAGTTCTGATGGAGGAATCGATAACTTGTGCATGCACGAGAAATCTTTGTACTCCTCTCGATTTATTTTTAATGTCAACGCGATTGGTTTATTTAAAAAATTCTTGGGGTACTCCGTGGATTTTATTCAGTAGTTATACTTGAAGTTTCAAGATCACATAATCGACTGTTTCATCACTGGTAAAGTGGCATGTAATTTGTGTAGGGGAGACACGCAATTAAATCTCGAATGTCTTTACATTTCACTTGTAACGGTGCAATTTCCGAAATTGTTGGTAATGTGATTGTCATTCACCTGGTGAACTTCGATATTGAACCGAACGAAATTCAATTATCAATAGAGATTGTCAGATTGGAGAGAAATGTCAAGGAATCTTCAATCGAATTGCAGGGAGAAATTGAATTTCTAATTGAACTCGGGAGTTCAACTTCGTGACGCTTCAACTCTTCCATTTATTCAAAAATTAAAACTGCATTAATTCACCTAGATAGTAACTTGATTCATTACATAATTAAATCTCTGTATCCGAATTCTTAAGATTCTTGGAATTTTTACAGTTGCATAAATGCGAATTACGAATTTTTAGTTCATTGACCATTGAGAATAAATAAATAATAAATGGAATCAATGTGAAAAAAAAGGGAATTGATTTCCATAACTTGTATTAATTTTTCCATTCCCTTGAAACTTGGAGTTTGTTCAAATATTAATCAGTCTACGAAGGTTCTGTAATATTCTAGGATAAATAAAAGAATATTTTTTACAAGTGAAAAATTTACAATAACCCATGAAGTTGGTTCGCATAACGAGGGTGGTCCCTCACTCAAACGATTGTAATCCAGATTTAATGCATACCCTCGAGTAACCCAGCGCACATATCCCATAATCACATTTGAGTTACCTCCAAGGTTTATCCCGAAAGTAAAAAAAAAATCCCGAAGCAAAAACACGAGAGGGACGTCAATATCCCGAGTCCTTCATCCGAAGGATTACCACATGCCCACGATCATCGCAAAAGTTTGCGTGCATTAGAATAATAAAAAAAATATGTTTATCAAAAATTCGAGACAATCGATAACAAAACGAAAGTTACGAATGATAATAATAAGAAAAATTATGAAAACCGAAGGAGAGGGATGACTTCAAAGGACGAAAAAAATATGAACTCTGGAGGAAGTACATGGGGAATGGAGTTATTTTGTGTAGAATTTTTAGTACCTAGGTCAATTGATATCAACCATCGAATAATTCATTTTTTTTTAAATAATTGATCATTTTGGAACTCAATACTTGAGGATACAAAAAAGTTTCAATAAAAAAATGTTAATCCGTCAGAAATACACGAATTTAGTCCTTGAATTTGAATTAGTGGATTTTTTGAATTTTTACTGGCGAAATGCGATTCCAATGATTATAATTCCTCCATATGGTAGTAGATTAAAAAAGTAACAATTATTCCTGGTGCATTGAATGGTACGGAACTAGAAATGGAAAGGGAGATATTACCCAGCAACTTGTTAATTTCTCTTATTTTCCAATTTCAACTCATTCTTTTATTTCTGACTGTCTATTTTTATCTCTTTACCCCGATTGCCCCTTCTCTTGATTCCATAAACCTACAGCAAGACATGCCAATGGGCGTGTATGTTTGTTTAGCTCGGTCTTTACCCTGTTATTATGGACCGTGTCCGCACTCCCTTCGTGAAACCGATGAGCGAAAAAGACTTTTCGGGTGAAGACGAGCTGTGGAATTTTGCTGAATAGAGTGAGACAGTTTGAGGGGAGAAGATTGTATTCAAGTAACGAAAATTGAACGTGATCAGTGGGTGATTCTCGAGGCACGTATTTCACCTTTGTGAAAACAGAATAAATAAAGAGACTCGATAATAAAGTCAAATGTTACAAGTAACTGGCAACACTCAGATTATTGTAGCTCATAATTTTTTAGAAAGAAAGATTTATTCAGGAATTAATTTTACATTTTTTCAAAAGTCTACCCTAATGCGACATTAATCACAATTATAAATAACCGCGGAATTATTTCGAGTGCAAATATAAAATTGTAATAACTAGATCCCAAAATAATGTTTAATATTGAAATAATTAATAATGAGACATGTAACGCCCAGGTGAAAATGAATTCAACACTCGAGAACTTCGGCATTTCGAAATTCCCATCATTGTCCCGACATTGCAATTAAATTTTCACAACAATATCCGGCTTTTATTCAATTAACAAAAGCCCCGACTGAAAACTTGGGCAATTAATAATCCGAAAACCTAACCATTTAATTTTCACTCTTTCTCCATTCAATTTGATCTCTCTTTTGTCGCCCATTTTCCCACATATTCAGGTAATAACGTGGCTCTTTATAAAGTCGAGGTTCAATAGACCGGAATAAATAAATAGAGAAGGATAATAGGAAAAGTTGGAATATCGAGAGGGAGAGGAATATTTATAGTTTTTTTATGAATGTACTTTATCTCCATTCATCCGATTCTTTCTATATTTTTTTTGTGGTCAACGAAGGGACGACACCGTAGGTTCTCTCCAATTTTTCCTTCGAACCACAATACAACGTTGATGACGTGCAATACCCCACAGCTTCCAATTGAATAGACGAGTGTCTGTTTACCCATCGAAAGAGAAGGGGCAAATACGCGACCGTGAAAATACGAATTTCGCACGGGCTCTGAGTGTTCTCTCCATTCCGTCCCACATTCCTTTATTTGCACAATTTAACATGTATTGTCGATGATGTTTACTCCCGATAAATTCGAGTCTCCATCCCGTTCTTCTCCCCCTTTTACTGAATAATTCATCAATTTTTTTACGCCCCCCCCAAATGTTTGACGATTCAAATGCACGAGTGGTGGATAAAACTCACGAATTCGTGGGATTTTTTTTTCATCCATTCGTATTGGTTAATTTCCACTAGCCGATTAATCCACACAACCACTCAATTGGCTGGGAGTTGAGAGAAAATGGGTGGGATTACCCGAGGGGAATCATTCTGATGTTATCCCACGATCTCTTATAACTTTTGTTCACCAACTACTGGACATGGGTCTAGTTTTCGTTTTCCCGTGGGACTCGTGTGTTTTGGATTTATTTGCACTGGAGAATGGAGAGGTGTGATAAGTGCGGATTACGATTGGAATTATATACACTCATGAAAAAAAAACGATTTATTTGAGCGCATTTCGGCAGTGAGTCATTTCATTTCACTTCATCATTTTTTTACTTGGCGAAAACTTACAATTTACGGTAGAATGCTCTTTTCTTAGTGCAGTGGTTTTTAGAAGGAACAAATTGGGGGAATCCCTGGGGAGAGGAGGCTCTAGAGAATTCTATTAGAAGAAGTCTCAGGCGGTAATTTGGGGATCTTCAATTTTAATATCTAATCGACTGTTGACCGAGAGATAAATCGCATCTCGAAAAAACCGAAACTGTCATAAAATTATATTTGGAATTTCAGGCGATAAAAATCGATATCGAATTGATGATGTTGATGTTGAATTTTTATATTGAGAATTTTTCATTGACGAATCAATTAATTTTTTTATTTTTTTAATAAATAAATTTTTTTAATTTTTTTATTTTTTTACGTAAATCTAGGAATTCTCGATTTTCAATTCAAGGGGATGAAATTGAAATTCAGTGCTACCATCGGACACTGAAAATGGTAACTTTGGCAGAAAAGATTTCCACTGTTTTTCTTGATTGATCTTCAGTTGATAAATAATGCGGAGAAATTTTCCTTACCGGTTTGCGCATAATATTTTTACACCATTCCATCCAGTGGCCATCTCTCGGCATTTTTGAAAAAACACCGACTCGACCAAAGAAGATTGGAAAGTAGAGGCTCAGTTCTGGGGGTTGGAGTGACCCCAGCAGCATCGTAGTACTGCACCCCAAGAGAGGAAGGGCGCCACACGCAATGGGGGTGTCTGCCCGTCAACCGACTCGGTAACTGCCTCATGTTATTTTCGGCGTTACGAAATTCGTATTCACTGAAATTTAAAATTTTATGGAGTCACTTAAATTTTTTGCAATGGGGGCAAAAAATTTAAGTGACTCCATAAAATTTTAAAATTTCAGTGAATACTAATTTCGTAACGCAGAATATGACATTCACGCTGTCGACCGGCCCCTCTGACGGCGGGACTACTATTGAGGCAGTTACCGAGTCGGCTGACGGGTAGACCCCCCCACCATTGGGTGCGGCCCCCTCTTTCTCGTGGGGGGAGGTACGACAATGCCGGTTGGGTCCCTCAAACCCCCACTAAGCGGCTCAGTACGGGTGGGGTGGGCTCAATGGTGGGGTATCCGCCCGTTAGCCGACTCGATAACTGCCTCAATACAGTCCCGTTGTAACGGCCGCAAGACATAGTCAGAGCCAAATAAAAATGGAAGAAGAAGCAGTCCCACTGTCAGAGGGACCAATCGACTGGGTGAATTTTATTTTCTGAAAATTAAAAATTTTTCAATTTCAGTGAATACTTCCTCGATTTTCATGGTTCCCTGATACTTTTTTGAAAATTTTCAATTTTTCAATTTCAGTGAATACCTCCTCGATTTTCATGCTCTCCTGATACTTTTTAAAAAATTTCGAATTTTCAAATTTCAGTGCATACCTCCTCAATTGTCATGCTCCCCTGATACTTTTTAAAAAATTTCGAATTTTCAAATTTCAGTCAATACCTCCTCGATTTTCATGCTCCCCTGATACTTTTTTGAAAATTTCGTATTTTTCAATTTGAGTGAATACCTCCTCGATTTTCATGCTCCTCTGATGCTGTTATGAAAATTTTTAATTTTCAAATTTCGGTGAATACTTCCTCGTTTTTCATGCTCCCCTGATACTTTTTTGAAAATTTTCAATTTTTCAATTTCAGTGAATACCTCCTCGATTTTCATGCTCTCCTGATACTTTTTCAAAAATTTCGAATTTTCAAATTTCAGTGCATACCTCCTCAATTGTCATGCTTCCCTGATACTTTTTCAAAAATTTCGAATTTTCAAATTTCAGTGAATACCTCCTCAATTATCATGCTCCCCTGATACTTTTTAAAAAATTTCGAATTTTCAAATTTCAGTGAATACCTCCTCGATTTTCATGCTCCCCTGATACTTTTCGAAAAATTTCGAAATTTCAAATTTCAGTACATACCTCCTCCATTTTTATACTCCTCTGTCACTCCAACCCCCAGAACTGAGCCTCTACTTTAGTCAATTCTCTTTGATTACATGTGTTCAATCCCCCACTCTGCTCCCTCCATTTGCAATGGCAACCCATAGAAGCTCTGGGGGTTTAAGTGACCCCACCCGCATTGTAGTACCTCACCCCAAGAGAGAGAGGGCGCCGCAAAAAAATGCTCCATCAACATTTGAAATTTTTTAAATATTGAACCATTAAAGGTCAACCAGGAAATTGTTAAAAACATTTTGATATCTATCCGTGCAGTAAACGACGAATTACGCACCGTGACGCGTACATCTTTCGCCTTTTACGCTCGTCGTAATGTAAAATTCTAAACTAATTCTAATGTAAATGAAACACGTGCTATATAGATATTTCAACTCGTGTAATTAACAAACTCCCCTAGGACTCATTCTTTAACCCTCACCCTGACCAGAAAATCTTTACAACACCCGTTGCGCAATATATAATTTCAAGTTTAATTATACGTTACGCGTATGCCAAAAATAACTTCTCGACGAGTGTAATTCCCGTATTAAAACAATTTTTTCAATTACACAATATAATGTTCCATGATTTCCATGTTTTCCAGTTTGTGAAATATCGTCAGAGGTAAAATGGTGAGAGGCAGTCCGGAAAGTTGGTAAAATCCTTGAGAGGAATCATAATGCCGGTTGAAACTGCGCGTGCGTTTTCAACCCCTAAACATTCTCTACCCCTCGATGAAATAAAACTCCTACGCAACTCTCCACCTCCGATTCCAGTATGAGAATACACACAGAGGGAGGACAGTGGGTTATTCGTATACATTGAGGTAACAAAATCGAAGTCTATACCATAAGCGAAACACTTCTATTTATACAGCATTTATTCCAGGTGTCATTTCCGAAATTTCCATTTTTTTCATTATCTTTCTCACGATATATTTCCGAATGTTTCTCCATCAATTTAATTTACCCCATATATTTACTAATATTTTTTTATTATCAGCATTTATACCTCTAGAGGCTTATAATCGCCTGTACAAATATAATATTCAGTATAAACTGAACTGTTTGTGCTGAAAATAGTGTTACATTGTGCCTTTTTGCAGATTAATTTTACATTTTTCATTAATCTTTCATAATTCTCATAACCGTGGTATTCAACGAATTTAATAATAAAAATCTGTCTATATGGGTAAAGGCCCTGTATATTAACTGATTGCGTTAACAACATGATCAAGTGACTCATTCATCTCCGAAAATTAATTAAAAACGCCTGACAAGTCTCGCCGGAATGACAACATAATTTAAAACAACTCAAGTAAAAAAACGCCTAATTTATCCATTCATTGTCCGACCCAGAAATTGTGATAAAAATATCAACGCGAAATTAGAAATGAAGAAAAAGTTTAATCTGCAATTTAAAATGTTAATAACAATTCTACTAAATCGATCGTTAATCAAATAATCGGTTAATGAGTGGATTTTTGTAAAAATATACTAAATTGAGATAATAATTGGAATGACGAAGGATTCTGTTTCTAAATTTAATGACCATCATGAGTAACATCTGGTATAGACTACAATATATGAAATTTATTTAATGAGAATCGCCAGGTGATGTACCAATTAACGGATTTAAATTAATTTAATTAAGATAACTGAGTGGAACAAGTGATCGTAAATAGCTTGACTCGTACCATATGGCAGGAGTTCACTCACTAAAGTTCACTCACTAAAGTTCACTTATCCTTCGGTTAATGGTTTATTGTACACGATTAACTCGACTTTATTCATCCACTCACAGTGCGATTAAAATACTCCCGATAATCCCAGGTTTATCCCATATATTTAATAAAGTTGGGGGGGGCGGAGATGGAGGCGATGGCAAGTTGAAAAAAATTTCCTGTTGAGGATTTATTCCGTCGAGTTATCGATTAGATACTTACGTCGTGGAAATTCTATGAGCATTCTTGGAGACTATGGAGATTAAAGTATTCATGGGGCATGTGTGGAATAGTTTGTAGGTCGAAGGGTTCTGGATAAGTTATCAAGAGCTAACGGAGATAAAGAGGTCGTATTGTGTTTGCTAATGGAAATTTTCCTCGCTGCCTCTATCAGCCACTTCCAAGCCCCTAAAGTTCATCAATCTCACGTTTTCCTCATTCCCACCCTCACATCCCCTATTACCAATTCGTTAAGAAAACATTCCAGAGAATATCAGCTTCTAACGCAATACACTAATATTATAAGTCCAACATTTCCCAAAAAGACAACGAAAACAGCAAAAGGAAACAGAACATTTTGGCATGCCCACTCCAGTTTTATATTAAATTTTGAATTTTTGGCATTTATGATTGTAATTTTTCTGTTTTATTCAATTCAGAAATTTCAGCCGTAATTGTATAATCATGATAATATTACGGGCTTTGAAAAATTTTTCTATTTATCTGTAAATAGAAATTTTTCGAATTGCGAAATGCGTCCGTAATTCTGAGGGAATAACTCTGACATTTCCTGAACTGTGGCAGTAATTGGGGGTCGACTGTCATTTAGTTCTTCTAATTTTCTAGACTTTCATTTCTCGGGAAACATCTGCCATTTCCCAACACTCCCACTCCTAGGGTTTTTTAATATCCGGAGTTTTTCCAGACCTAATATCGTCAGAAGTAACTACCCCAGTGCACTTTAAAACTTCCTCAGCAATAAACAACACCTACTCTTGCAGTTTTATCTTGTTTAAAAATAAATACATCCGAGAATAATATATCGCTTCTTCAATTTATTTCTACAACGATTATTAAATATTTTGTGGAATTCCAACAGTAATTAGCAATATATCACGAGTAGCTACAGCTACTGTATATTAAGGGAGGAGAAAAAAAATCTGGGAAAATGGATAATTTCTCTTACTTCGTTATTTATTCCGGACAATATTCTCAACGGGAGAATTTCTCTACATCAAGTTGGAAAAATGGATAAAAAAAAATTCATGAAACGGGTTGTCCATGAATTTGAAAAAAAAAATTTTTTAATCAATTGTAAATTCGCATTCAAAAATCACATAATCCCGCTCTAAAATACCGCATAATTTCCATAATTAAAAATCCTCATTTTTTTCCATCCTCATTTTCAAAAAAAAAAAAAAAACATCTTCAATTTCCCATTAAAAAAAGACATTTAACTTCCGCAAATAATAAAAAATCTCATAAAAAGAAGTAAAAAATAATAATAAAATTGTATTGTTGGAATGACTCATGGAAAAACGGGAGTATTCGAGTGCTCACCCCTCGAAGCGAAAGTTCAAGGACAAGCGTCGGAGGGTATTTTGGGTGGTGGGCGGTGGGTGGTTGGGAGGTCGGAGAAAGGGGTTGTAAAAATCCCCTCGGGTGAAAATCAACTGGTCCGGTATCACATCCCCACCCCCACTGCTTAAATTCCGTTTGCGATGTTCAATGTATAAGTGACTATATCCACAGGTAAAAGTGTTACGCTTGCGTGATAGCAGGTTGTACCATCCCGGAGGCGCAGGACTTCAGTCTAGGATAATGTAATGCCGGATTGTCAAGAGTATCATCCATCGACAGGGTAAGAGTAATTTTCAATTATTCCCAATATTACGTGCAACGTGACGTCACCCTAAAATTAATAATCATTCAGGAGTATTGATTAGTTCGAGATGAATGAATGGAATTCTCAGTGTGGAGTTGTGAATGAATTTCTCATGTGTATTCATATCTCATGTGTCACTCCAAAACAGAGTTGTATTTTTTTTTTGTTATTTAGCATTTGTGCCAGAGGCAATTGAAGACGGTTATTAATAATTAGATATTCATTAAGGAATTGTAAAGACTCTGACGTAGATATATATATATGTATATATAGATACTGAAGTTTATAGTATGACGACGAGTCGAATAAATGGACGAGGCTTGTAAAATTGAAAACGTGAAAATCCGGGAAAGCTGACGAAAAATAGCGACGAAATGTGGAAATGGCATATTCTTTCATGCTGATCCGATCAACAATTTACCGGAAAAATAGACAAAGTGTGAATAATTGTTGGTGATTTTTGGTAATTCGTTGATAACAGGTTGGAGGAGAGATGGACTCTCACAGCGCGGGAGCTGTCGCTGTCCTCGGGACAGTCGGCGCTGCCACGGGAGCAATATCCGCGGTTTTGTTCTACGCGATGTGCATGAAACGCAAGAGGTTCGCCTTATTTCCTGGAGGAAAGGGTCCTCTAAACTGGTGAGCCCAAATCCAAATTCCGATAGACAAAATATCCATCATTGATTAACATTTCGACTTTTTAATTTTTGTGAATGAATATTATCTTTAGTAATCGTTATCAATTTATTCCTCCTTTGTTAATATTAAAATAGGTTTGAGAAGGATTTATTGGACAGAGCGAAGGAAGCTGAGAAGACCTCCAAGGAGGATTTCATCGAACTTGGAAATGTGGCGTCATTGGCATGTAATCCGACAATACCGAGCGAATTAAATGACAATATTTGCGATGACGTTGAATGGCAAAGAAAGGATCCACCATATGACACGAGTATCCTGAACTCACGGGAAGGTGAAACCACGTTACATCTTTAAATAAAAATTGCGTGGCAAAAATAAATGAAAAATATACCGATAATCAAACTCGATAAACTTTTTAAAACATTCAGTTATCCAACGATTATCGTCTGAAGGAGATGACGAGCCAAAGACTCCAGTGAGTCCTTTCGCTCCGCCACTTCCTGGAGGTGCCGTTGTTGCTTCTGATGATCGGATGGTCATCGTGAGACCCCAACCGAGGACATCCACTGGGTCGAGACTTAACAGTGCTGACAGTGATTCTGTTTTTCAGAAGGTTACCTCGATTGTTTATCATTTTAATTGCTATTTTTTTAATTATTACAATCATTAAAGATTATTAATTGATAATTTGGCAATTCCGATAATTATCGCTGAAACTGAATCCCTGAATCGTCTGGAACCATTTCAATTTACCCGGGAAACTTTAATTATTCGTTTTCAAGTATTTTTAGGAGAACACAGTATTACGATTTTATGAATTTTCTGATATAAAAATTCAGCAATCCTCTTGGTCGTCCTCATCATCGATAGACGAGCCAGCGGGTGAGCTGCAATTGAGTCTATTTTACGACTCTACTAATGGGATTCTTGTGGTGAAACTTCTTGAGGTGAACACCATAATTGAATTATCTAATTAGCTACTCAAATTGAATTTTCTACTTACATAAATTGAGATTTATTTTCGAAAAGGCGCATGACCTGAGAGCCAGGGAATTGAGTGGAAGTGCTGATCCTTACGCGAAAATAAGACTCTTGCCAGACAGGAGTAATACTTGGCAGACAAAGGTTCATAAGCGCACATTGAACCCAGGTAAAAAATTATGAAATCTATAAATTATTGGACAAAAAACAGAATTAAAATTCAGAAGCAGAACGATTTTCTCATAAAAATAAATTAGATAGTGAGTTTTTATTTTCAAATTCATGTATTAATTATTAATGATTCATTGATATCCAGTGTTTAATGAAGAGTTTAAATTCGAAACTGCTTCTCTCACTGGTACTACCCTGGAGGTACTTCTCTACGATTTCGATGCAGCGGCAAAACACAGAGGACTGGGGTACATGCGATTGCCACTGCCTCCAAATGGAGGAGATACCCTGGACGAAACTCCTCTGGAGCTGATGAGGCCAATACATAGATATGGAGCGGAGGGAAGCATCTACCGATCTGACCCACTGGGTGAACTCATGGTATCCTTATTTTACGATGCCACTGCTGCTAAATTGACAGTAATCGTTGTCAGAGCTATTAATTTAGTGATTGCTGATGACGCTGGCACTCAGAATTCGGAGACTTATGTAAAGGTAATGGAAATCAAATTACGTTGGTCTTGAAAAACTCCGGATAAATAATTAAGTTCACTGGAAGTGTACGAATCGTTGGCTTAGAAAGATTTAAAAAATTGAGTTGAAAAAAATTATCCACAGATATTCCACAGATGAATAAAAAAAATGAGATAAATGGAAATCTCTTTTCATCAATTTTCCAGGTGGGAATCTTCAAGGATGGCAAGAGTTTCAAGAAAAAGCGAACAATAATCTGTCGAGATCCGCAGAACCCAGTATGGAACGACGTACTAACATTCGATCTTGGAAGTGACATCTTATCAACCTGTACATTAGAATTTTCAGTCGTTAAAACGAGTGACCAGATATTGGCGAAATGCGAGGTCTCGAAAAAATGTCAGCGCGAGCTGTTTCATCGAGCTTTAGCTGGAAAAGGGGCGTCTGTCCAGTGGGTGCCACTGATGGGAGTCGATAAGAGAGAAAGGTCGTTGTCATAATCATTTTAATTATCAAAAAGATTATAATGCCGGAGAGAAAAGAACAACGATGAATGTAGAGTGACTATTTCTCCTCGTGTACCGTTTGGACACACTTCGAGACCTGCAGCTTCTCTTAATTTATTTTTATCATTCAATTGATCAGTTTCCTATCATTTTTATTTATATTTTTTGCACTTTTGATGTTTAAGAAAGCAAATATCTATGGAAAGTGAAATGTCGTGAGTATATTTTTGTGGTTTTAGATTATATTCTGAAAGTAATTATTGAATATCAAGTAATTATGTAGTACAAAGACGATATGGACGAAGGAGTACAGCACTTCATGTGGATTTAATTTTATTGTCAATTTTTCCAGCAATACTTCAGAATTAAAAAGTATTGAGAAATTTTTTTTGGGGTGCCATGAAAATTGTGGTATTTTCAATTGATTCTTAGATATTATAAAAAAGTTGTGTTAAAATTAAAAACGTTTTTACCTTCTTGCTCGTAAATTTCAAAGAAAAAAGGATGCAACAAATGAAATTAAATATTTAATTTTTATTTTTCTTGTCGACGGATGAATTCACATCACCAAAATCGGCCAATAAGTGAAGAATATTTATTGTTTTACCTCAGGAATTTTGTATCTTCGTTATTAAATTACCAATTGAGATGAAAATATTTAAAATTTGATTCCACCAGAGGAGAATCTGTATCAATAGGTTTATTTTTCAATTAAAAAAATTATAGGATCAGTGCCACACAGAATAACATAAAATAAATAATTAACTCTTCTAAAATTTTATGTGAAAATGACCGGGTTGTAATAATCATGGATTTCATTTCGGATTTTTCGATTTTTATGTTTATTTTAGAGTTTTTTCATCGTACAAAATATGCACAATAGAAAATACAGGTACACTCCGTGGTACCACTTAGTCAAAGAGACCTGTGAACATAAAAAATATTATTCATTAAAATGTCAAATAATTTTGTTTAAAATTGAAAGTAAAGTTTATATAATTGTCATTCGTTTATAAATATCCTCATGGGATTTTCAGTAGCTAATACATGCTTGAATAATCATCCAAATCCAATTGTAAAGAGTGAATAATAAAAAGAGGAAATTGATGAGAGAATTTTGCAATTACCGAATCCCATGTCATCGTCAGACTCCTCCTCTGGTTCCTCCTTCTTCTTTTCGGCTTCCTTGGCTGGAGCTGCGTCACCGCCAGCTGCCGCGGCAGGAGCAGCAGCTACGAGAAGAATTTTATTTCAAATTTTATTTTTTATTTTGAGACAAAGAGACGAGTTGTTTATATAAGTTATTATCAATTTGAAAATTCGGGCTGAACTTGTGCTCAAGTGTCTAGTTTATTCGTTAATATTAAATTTAGAAACAGTGAATAATAAAATAAATGTCGATTTATTTTCGTAATTGGTAATCATGAAAGTTTTCAGGAACTTGTAATCACGAGATACCTTACGTGACTCCACGGTTCTATTTTTTAAATTCATGAGGTTATTCGAAACGTGGAAAGTACGTGAATAATTGTAGTTCTTGAGGAGCTAGGTTTAAACTTCTAAAAATTTCAAACCCGACAACTCCTCACTCTCGTTTTCATTTCCTCGCTATCGCTGACCTCGCCAGCAGTGAATTTCACTGGTCAGGTGGATGAAAGGAGGTGACAATCTACGTTAAATGAGAAATATACGCACCACCACCAGCTGGTGCAGCTCCAACACCTGATCCAATATTGGTGATGAGATCTTTTACGTTAACGCCTTCAAGGGCCTTGGCGAAGAGACCTGGCCAATACGGCTCGACATCAACATTGGCTGCCTTGAGGATGGTTTGAATCTTTTCGCCCTGAAAATAAAAATTATTTCCACAGGATATTGACAGTTGAAAGACGCAGGATGCAGTGTAATTATAAATCATAATTCAGTAATGAAAATTCACAATTATTCAACTCAATAAAATCGAGGAGAACATTCACACAATTTTATCAAAACATCTGTTCAATATTAGGTCTTCTCTTAAATCAGCATCGACGAGGTAAAATATAATAACCGATTGACATAAAAATCAGAAACCGATTTTAACAACAATCAAATAAATTAAAAATTCCCCCGTTCTCCCATAGCACTGACACGATTAATTCACCATTTCTAACCTCTTCACTACTCCAAACATCACCCTGCCAACACTCATCATGCCTCCATCACCTCCATAATAAATAAATATCAGAAAAAACTCGAATATTGAAGAAAATATTCATTCGAGTGAGAGGTATTTATGGTTTGTGTAGTTGTAAAAATGTAAAGTAGCAATGAAATAATATTCTATTAAATTCAAATGAAAAATGCTTGACAACGAGATTGACTGAAAAAGTGACTTACAGTAACGGCGATGTCATCATCAGTGAGAAGGAGTGCGGAATAAACGCAAGCGAGCTCGGCCTTTGTCGACATTTTACTCGATGTTATTTATCGTCAAACCTTGTGGATGGATTTGAAAAAATGTGCAAGTCGCCGATGCGGCCTTAGCTCGAAGAGAGAACAAGCACGCGAGGTTACACGACCAAACGGAAAAGAACCTTTCGTCACCGGAAATACCCAGCGCTCTCAAAAATCCACCACCGCCACCTACTAGTGCCGCTTGTTTTCAAAATCCTATAAAATGGCCGTCAAACTGTTACGTAACCAATCGGAACGCATTTCGTTCTCATCCAACTCCAAAACTGCGCAGTTGATTTCGAAATAATTACCAACGCCAATTGACAAGTCGCGTATAAAAAAGCAAGATTTTTTTAAATTGAGGGAATTGTGAGGCGAATAACGTGGCAGTAATTGAGGTGAAAAATGATAACAGGGTGGATCGGACTGGGGGGAAAGGCGGGGAATTGCACCGGGATCGATATATCTCGAACTCTCGATTGCTTTCAGCACTCGCAGTGCATCGAGTTGCGCCTGTTCTGTTCAGTGTGCCTCGTGCTGATGAAACATGAATGTGAGTGAATAACTAGTGGTACAGAAATCCTGAAAACAGTGAAAATACCGAGTTTTGTGGGTTTTTTAGGATTGAGGGGTAGATGTGAGGGATTTTTCAACTGTTGAGGTGATTATTTGGGGTGTTATGGAGTGATTGGGAGGTGTGACAATGGTTCGTGGACGGTATCTCATCGTCGGTACATTCCGCGAGTGATAATAACCAGTGACTAGTGTTTCACCGGATTGTTTTAAGCCTTACCGATGGACATCGAGTGCTTCGCTGGAGATGCTCAAGTGAGATTTTTTAAAATATTATTTTTAGTGTTGGGTCAACCGGGTGATGGTGATGATTTTGGGTGTCAGCAGACAAAGGCGAATAAATGCGCGGCGATCGCGTGTGCCAGGACGGCGGGTTGTGATGGGAATGGCGCGTAAATGTTGTGGTGTAAATTGGCGTTATGGAGTATAAGGGATTCGACGCCGGGGGTTTTGATCATAGGGTATTGTCGTGACGATCAGGTGAGGGCGAAGGGCGTTGAGGGGTGCTCGAGGAGAATCCACGCCCGATTTATTCGTCGGGGATTTTTTACATTCACGGGGTAGTCAATGAATTTTTCAATCGCATTCTGGTGGTCTTGGATTTTCAAGAGCTATCGAGGGACATGTGATGAGTATTACACGCGAGAGAAACCGGGAGACACGCGGACACATCAGTGATGGACAAAAAAATAGAATTTTTCAAATACTAAGTACCAAAATTATTGGAAATGGGTAATTGAAATAGTGATATAAGACCAATATGTGAAGAAGTCGCGGTCCATTTATTGACTTTGCACTCGGGAGACCCATGCACATGTTGGAAACTCCTTGAGAACAAATTCTACTCGGAGAAGGAAAAATTTACAAATATAATTTTAGCTGTATTGAGAAACTCATGGATTTATGTTGACATCAAATTCGAGTGATTATACACTTGCCCCAAAAATCATAATTTGTCAATGACAAACAAGTATTTTATCCAATGAATTTCGATAGGATTGATGGTTTCCGTGATATTTACGCAATGTTCTGATCATCATGCATTCAGTTAATCATATTCTTCAATTAATTAATTATTCGATAATATATAAAACTTAATTGAAATAACTAAACCAATTTGTTCCGATAAAAAAATAAAATGAAAACCATCAATCCAGATAGATTAACGATAAATTCATTCTAGATCGAAGCACCATGCCAGTAAAATCCCTAAAAGTATCCTACCCCCAGGAAGATCTTGATCTCGTCAAATCGAAGATGAACGTAAACGAGACAATTCAACCTGATTCGATGGGCTACAATGACAGTTGCGGGGAGGCATGCAATTCTTCGAGGCCGACATCCTCAGCAGATTCTCTCAATCCCTCGGAGGGTGCATCCTCCCAGGATGACAATGAGATCTTCACTCAACTTGAAGAAACAGCCCTGATGAATCGCATCGATGAGAAGGTCAAGAGGATCGAGATAAACGAGGTACCACCCGCTGAACCACCCCCAGCAAATAAAACAGCGGTTCTTGGGGAGATTAAGAATCCACGAAGTATGGAGAACATCAGGAAGACCAAAGCTGTTACTAGGGGAGACCTCAAGTTCTTTGCTGGAGCAAAATTGGAGGCCAAGGACTTCAATGATCAATGGCAAGTTAATTTCAAGGATCTTTGAAAAAAATCTGCCATTTTATAATAATTAGTCCATGAAATTAGTCAAATTATTGAAACGTTAGTTTCTTGATTTAAAAAAAAATGAATTCTCCATGCATGCTCCATTTTAAAACAATAATTTAAACAATAATTACTATTTTAGAAAGAATTTAAACAGTAATAATTGATCATTTTCTCAGGTATGCAGCACGAGTCGTTGAGATAGATTGGGTCGACAGAGAAGTGTTGATCCATTTCGATAAATGGAATTCGAGATTTGATGAGTGGATCCCCATGGACAGTCCTAGATTGAGAATGTTACAAGTTCAACCCAGGTAATTATCTACCATTATCCAAATATTGCTTACAACAATCCGAAGGCAATTGGTGAAGGGAGATGCGTCCAACTGGTTTACATGCATTTCCTAATGTTCAGAGTAAGATTGACAGAACTGTGAGAACAAAAAAACAGAAAGGACGAGCAGCAGACGGAACACTCAGGACTTTTATCTTGCAATATTAAAAATCGAAAGATTTTCAAATAGATCAGGTTATACTCATTCAAAAAGTCATCTATTGTACGATTTTGGCTCGTCTTTCTTTAAATGTCATTTAATTAGTTTGGACTCATTGACCTTTACATCCTTTGGTGCTCATTTAATCTCACACTAATCATACTTGCACATTTCCTAACGTGCGATTGTCGATTAGAATCGATGGAATTCCATGTATTCATTCTTTGTACGTTTTTTGTTTTCATTTATCGATAAAAAGTGAACAAGCGAAACTTGATTGGGTCATTGCAACTCCGTAAGTGAAAAAAATCATCCATATACCTAGTAGTACCTATCATAAATTAAAAATAAATCAACTTCTTACATTTGTCCCTTTGAGGGCTAATCTCGTTTAATTCATTACGATAAATGTCTATGCATTGCTGTTGTAAATAATTTTATCAATATTGTTATTCGCATTGTTTCGGAACAAGATATGTCCTTTTTAATCTTCCTTAAATATTTCCGGCATTACTAAGAGAAATGGAATACTTTTATTACTTTGAAATTCGCAAAAGATACTCTTCAGTTTGTCAAAATTTTCTAGGAGCTAATCAACTAATTCTGAGTTATTATTAATGGAAAATATGTAATAAAGTAATGCGAACTATTTCCTTGCATGTAATTTTCTTTAGAATTCGGTGATTCAAATATTTTCGTCATTATCATTACCCTTGGATCATTGCATACTTATAAATGCTTATTTATTCCCCATATATAAAAATTGAACAAATTGAAAACTTCCCTTAAAAGGAAACCCCTAAAAACCATACGATCCAATTATATTGTTCGTTAATAATAATAACAATTTGAAAAAACAATAATTCAATCTGAATTTGAATATCATATAATTCACAGGATACGATATTTTTTTCAAAATGAAAATATCTTTCATTTTTACGATTATTATTACTTTTGTCGCATTATTATTTATCTTTTTATATCAACTACCCAATCTTTGAAGAATCCATAAAAATTTGACACAATCAATGATGAATCTTTCAATTATCGATTTCTTCAGAATGTCAGTAAATATTTTTTGACATATCCGTAAATTTTTTTTCACTAGTCAGAATGTAGAAAATTGCCAAAATTGTTCAATTGTTCATAATTGCTGAATTGTAGAGATCCAAAACCGAAAGGTTTTTCGACAGGAGAGAGGATCCTGGCAACGTGGGCAGATGGTCGAAAGTATCCAGCCACAGTAAAAGCAGTATTGGGAAATGGTAAGCTAAACCTAGCCTCATCTGTTTCCATTATATCCCATAACGAGTGGAAGTGAGACACTCTTATACTGCACAAATGGTACAACAGTTGTCTCTCAGTCGCTTGACGTTTCACCCTCCTATAAATAAACTCAATGAGCTTCGTATTTCGATTCATAATTACTCAAAGGTATTATTCTGCTTATTATTTTTCACAGATCGTTACGATGTTTTATTTGATGATGGTTATGCCAAAGTTGTACGTTCATCGAAGATGACTAAAATCGCTGGAGCAGTGGAAAAGGTGAGATTTTGGGTGAGGTTATGTTGTGATGCATATTGACTTTGGTCTTGAGCAATTTATTTGTTTGTTATCTCCTACTTCAACCTTTCTCCAATTATTATTCAATTCGGGAAAATTACGTTTCGTCTTTAATATAATAAAATTCCAAGTTTGAGAATCTGGGATTCCCAGGGGGCATGATCACTGTAGTAGCTTATGTTGGGAAAGTTATACGCAGAAATCAGGAAGTTCCCATCAATCTTGTTTCAAAAAAAAAAATTATTATCACATTCGCGTGGTTCAGGATGTGCAGTAATAACAAACACGGTCGAACTTTACTGGGAATATAATTGCATTATACATAATATCGTTTGTATAATAATCACCTGAATTTTTTTCTATTCATAATGAGTACTAGATGAAGGACTAATTTCGAAATCACTTATTTTGCTTTTTTATCGGGAACTTTCTTAGTCAGCCGGACTTCGACAAGTCCTAATAAGACAAATGTATGGTGTAAGAGAATAAAGACTTCTTATTAACCTTCCATTTCAAAGTCTTACCTCAAGCTTCAAATAAAACAGAATTATTTGTATATTTTCCACGAAAAATAGTCAAACACTCAACAATTACCAATGGAGACCGAGACGTACATAGGAAGTAAGCAGGAGAGAAGAGACAAGAAGAGGAAGCACACAGTGACTGAGTTATTTAGTAGTAGAAAACGCACAAAGTCAGACAAAGAAGGAACCTCGAAGAAAGAAGAAATGCCTGATGTACCCGATCAGGAACCTGAGGTTGCTGAAGCCAATGAAGCGACTCCGAGCTATGACTCTGGAGCAGAAATGCTGAAGGGTTTTCCGAGTTCGAAGAAAGTTAAGAACTTCTCAAAGAAGAAGAGAGAGTCTCCCAAGGTGGAGAGTGATCCGGAGGATGATCCAGGCCCTGAATGGGTCGATGGAGAGCCCCAGGGAATCGAGTCCTTCACCACTGATGGAAGTAGACGATCCATCATCGTGCCTGATAAGAGACTACCTACGGGGTGGCAAAAGCACTTCGTCCAGAGGAAGACTGGAAATTCTGCTGGCAAGTGGGACGTTCTCTTCGTTCAGTAAGTTAATTTATCATACAAATATCAATTATTAAATCAAGTTACACTCTCTGTTATCTCGCTGGTATTAATTGTGCTATTAAAAGATTTATTAGTAATTTCTCTTCCATTAAATTTTCGGTGATTCTTTTTTTTTATCATCAGACAATATTTTTTAATTCTAGAAAATCATCTGGAAAAAAATTCCGATCGAGAAGTGACTTGAAGACCTTCTTCGAGGGTCAAGGCCAGATGCATTATAATACTGAAATGTTCGACTTCTGCATTCACCGAAGAAAAAGATCTGGAGGGGGTAGAAATTTTTCGGTAAAGACGGACAGTCCTGTGGAGACCCCGAAGAAAATTAAGACACTTTTACCGAAGAGTAAGACCAGTCCTACTGCTACAGTGGGATCTGAAAATCTTCTGTTGAGTCCTGTCAATTCTCCATACTCTCCGGCTCCTGTGACTGCTCCCGGGGTTGTTGGTACCCCCACTGATCCAGGTGGTAAGTCTTTCCGTAATAAATTATCTTCAATCTCATCTGTAGTTGCAGAAAATACATTTTTTAATTAACTGCACAATCAATGGTTATAAAATTCTAACAAGAGAATGATTGCAGAAAACGCTTCAGTTTTTAAATAATCCAATAGCACATAATCACATAATCATTGCATTTTTCCGCTGCTAGGAGTCATCTATTGTAAGTTAAATAAGCCAAGTATCAAACCAGTACAATATAATTTTAGTAACGAAGACGTAGAACAGTTCTACTCGACTGCCTGGTAAAATGATAAAAATGAATGAAACACGTGAAATAGCAAACTGGTCGTATAATAAAAATACATAAATTAACTCTTTACATTAATTATTAACATTGATTAGCGGTGTTCGTCGGAGGTCTTCGAGTGGAGATGGAGGACGGAGCGTTCAAGTGTCCCATCGAAGGTTGCACGAAGACCTTCCGCAAGGAAAATCTCCTGCAGATGCACATTAAGCACTATCACAAGGAATACTCCCAATATGTGGGCTCGACCCCCAACGTTGCTGATTTAGCTTATGCCAGAACAATTGGGGAGTCAATTCAGGATGTCACTCCTAAAAAGACAGTGGACAAACGGAGATCTCTCCCAGAGAGATCAATGCAAACATTCTCCTCCATGTCACCACTGACTACTCCACTTCATGATGTCTCTGCCTCCGATGGAAACACCACTCGGGATGATTCCAAACTTGAAATGATGTCGCCAATGTCACACTGCAGTATGGATATCACGGATGATGGAATACAAAGGACGGAAATTGGAGCTATGTCCCCAGGTAATTAAAAAAGTCAATGGAAAATAGTTCATGCAAATGAAAAACATTCTTTCTAAATATTGTCCGGCATTTTATGCAAAATATTAATTATTATGTGAAAAATAGAATATTGTCATTTCTATTAATTTTTCAATGCAGAATGTGCACTTTTTCTGCTTCTTTAGACAATTTCTGCATATTTTAAACGAAAAATTAAAAATGTTACTTCCCGCGCAATTGCAAAATTTCGGTGAGTCAAATCAATGATGACGACTTCTCACATTACTTCAGGTGCGTTATTTGATATGAAAATTCGAGAGGAGAAAACTCAAGTGGGAATCAAAACTCTTCTCCCAGTACGACCGAGTACCGTAGATCCCCAGAAAAGCGACCGTTTCAAGTCTCATGACGAGCCTGGCAGTTTCGAAAGATTGAAGGGTCAGAGGAAACGTCAGTTATCTGAATATAGCTCTGATGCTTCCACGAAGAGCAGAAAACCCAAGGGCATGCAGGACCTTACGGATGAGTACGGAGATTTAGATGACAGTGCCTTGGATGCTGAAGGGCCAGTTGGTCCCATATACAGATATAGTCGTAGGAAATCTGATCCTAAAAGCGACGAGAACAGTCAAAGCAGTAAGTCACTGATTGTAAATTCAGTAAACATAAGTTATTTCAATTGAAAAAATAAACATTAATTTCAGATAGTGAAGTGGCGATGATAGAGGTGAACGGCGAGCTGGTAAAAGTCGAGCAACTAGAACGAGAGGAAATCATAAACTGCACTTGTGGAATAACCGAGGAAGACGGTCTGATGGTTCAATGTGAATTATGCCTGTGCTGGCAGCATGGCCATTGCAGTGCCATCGAGCGAGAACGAGATGTTCCTGACAAATATGTCTGCTACATCTGCAGAAATCCTCATAGAGGCAGATCCTCCATGAAGTACAGTCACGATCAAGATTGGATAAAGGAAGGAAAGCTCGAGATTCTGGAGAATCGAACTAGAGATTCAGAAGCAATCAACAAGAGGACAGCGATGTTGAAGCGATCCTACGATCTCGTTGGAGCGCTCATCCAGATCCAAAAGATTCTCCACAGTCTCAGGGTCAAGATCAATGTTGCCCAGAAGAAGGATCATCCCAAGCTGTACCTGTGGGCCAACAACTGGGAAAAATCAGAAATAGCAGACGTTAATTTGGAGCCAGTTCCAATTATGGAGGTTATTATCCCGAAAACTGAAATGGAGGACATCTTCATAGAGCCTAAAATAAAGATTGAAAAAATAATTGATGATAAAGATATTAAAAGTGATAATGAGGGTAAATCCATAGCTTCGGATTCGGAGCTCATGAAAATTCTCGAAGAGGATAATTCTGTGATAGGTAATCAGGGGAGTGATTCCAAAGGGAAGAAGGTGGACGACAAGACGGGGGGACATATCCTGCTGGATGCCTTGACCAGGAGTGAGGCAAAGGGTGAAGAGATCAAGAGTGAGGAGGAGAAGCCTGAGGTGCCTTTAGAGATGGTTAAACAAATGCAGCCGATTATACCTGAGCCTGAGGCTCCTATTGATCCTTTTGAGTGCCGACTCCGGCTGTTCGAGCATATTGAGCATTTCCAAAATCATCTTGACGCTAAGTTGATGGAGGTAGAGGCACAGGTTGACGCGTTGGAAGCTATGGAGGCCAACAACGATGCACCATCCTCTGATGTCTCAGTGCGTGATAAAGAAACGATCCAAATGCTCTTGCGAGATCTCAAGACAATACAAAAATTGGCGGCTCAGTGTTGATTCAATATGAAACCATAAAATGCGAAACGTTACTCATGCTTGTGGAAATCATCGCATCCATATTAGGTGGAGCCTCCATTTTTATATAAAGCAATGTACAATATTTGCAACCGATTTACTTTTACTCGAAACTATTAGAGAAGTAGACTTGTCTTGTAATATAATGTATCTAGCTTCGTTTTTATCTTTTAGTTGTAATGAATATAGCACTAATTTGAATATTGGGCTGAAGAGAATTATTAATTTCGTTAATAAATTTTGAAAAGTACAAGGAACAACAGATTGTTGCCGGAATTATTCAAATGTTGATCATTTTTAGTTATTTAACAGTTGAGAAAGATTATTATAATTTGGGGGAAAGATTGGCTGGAGATAAATTCTTTGAATTTTGGTTCAAATGTTGAAAATATAATTGACGGATATTCGGATTATAAATCCTTCTCCAAAATCCGACATTATACTACCGCATGTCATTATCTCCAGAGCGTGTCAATAATGCGAAATAGTTTTGCATTATAAAAGCGTTCTTTATTCGAACAAGTCCAAAATCCGAAATGCAAAAGAACTTTTTTTAAGAATTGAAGATTAATATTTCTCAGGTCGTAATGCTCTGGCGTTGACCCCTGACATTCCTGACTGCGATGTTGCATGCGAAGTCTCTCGTGCTCGATCATCCATGTTTTTTCGCGCAGTAAAAAATTATCTTGGTAATTAAAAGGGCAAAAGACTGATGAAACGAATAAAAATGAGGGGAGTCGTGCAGTTGTACATGAACGCGTTGAATTTTTACCAGGTGAAAGTCGACATTTAATTGGCCCCGAGGAAGAAAGCCGGACGCTCGTGAAATGTATGTACATTTGTGATTACGTAGTCGTCTTACACGTGTCTGATCTTGTTTTATCTGGGTCAGGGAGGAATTTTTGGGGATCTGAAGTGCATGGGAATGCTTGCGAAAGTTCATTGTCTATTCTGAAGATATTTTGCAACACTTATTTTCAGGAGAAAACGGATAAATTTGACAACTTTCTTGGAAATTGTTCAGCAATACGTGGGCTCGAAAGATGTCGACATTTTAGCGGAATATTAAATTCTCTGTAGAAACACTTGATAGACCAAAAAAAAATTTCCCTCTGAATGCTTTCCGAAGGAGATATCAACGAAATACATGTTTATTCTTGTTTGCCAACATTTTATTTCTTCCTTATGAATGTTTACGTGAGAATTACGTCAATAACTGCCACGGCTTTGTGAATTAATTCTGTCCCGACCGGGTAGGAAAATCTCGTGGGCGTAATTGGGTTCTTCATTCAACCGACGTAAAATACGGTGATATACCATCTACAGAGCTTGCACGGAAATTTGGAAGGGTCGACTTGTGAAAGTATAAATAATACAACGGTATTAAGTCAGTGGTTGAAGTATTGACCACTCACTTTCACACCACTAATGAATCGAAAGTCGACGTGTGGCTAATTATTTTTATATCAAGTCGATCGTAATGATGGATTGAAAATTATTCGATGTATATTTTACGGGGAATAAACCCAGAAAAATTTCAAATTTCAAGAGCTAGAAACTTTCAAATTTCCCAGAAAGAAGTAGTTATAAAAGCTTTAATCACAATATAATTATAAAATGTTACAAAACTTCAAGTCCGCCCTGAGATTAAACTTTAAATGAGGAGATGGATTTTCACAAAAGCAATTGGTGCAAACTCTAAAAATAGAAACTTGCCCATTTCTCAGAAACTCTTCAAAACATAATAATTATATCGACCTTTCACCCTAAAAAATACCCACACAGTTAGCCACCCCCTGATATGACCCTAAACTTTGCAAGCTCCTTACTCACCCTCCAACTCTTACCGACCGATTTGCAAAATGTCAAATTCCCTATAAATGAAAAAATAAATAAATAAACCTCCCTCGGGTAAATGACTTGGATGAAGGTCGACGTATGCACACACTCGTGCATAAAAAGTTTTACGAGTTTGACGAACTGGGGCTGGATAATGTTGAGGCATTAAAAGCACCTAAAGTCGTCTCCTGGAAGGTGTATGAGGGTAGCCGACCGCCTATCGATCCCCCAAGGCTTTTGCATAAACTACAAACACCGAGAATATATGACGTACACTGCGCATTCATTCCGGTGGACGATGGCGCACGCAAATGATTTTTAGTGGATGTATATCACGCATATGAGGGTGGGGAAGGCCATTGTGAAGAGGAAAACGCGTCAGAGCCGGTGCAAACATGCCAACCAGGGCGCGACTGACCTCATTGCATAACATCTAACTATCACCGAAATTAAATATTTAAAATTTCTATCCCCTAACCATAACCATCCCCAAATACCAACCCTTATGTTTACCATTTTAACATAATCATCGTTACTATATTAACTACTATTACTACTAATTGCACATTAACACCTGACTATTACCACCGACTAAATTAAATATTCAAAATTTCTATCCCTATATTAATTCAATATTTCAATAGTTAATCAATAGCAATTTTTTAGGATTATCACGAGTTATTTGAGAGAATTTCTCCAAAAAAAAAAAAGGGTTTCAAGATTTTGATTTCATGTCACGCGTCATGGACATCATTGAATTCCAAAATGTTTCCCTCAATCCCAATGAGGATCGCAATAAATTCACAGTTTTATTTGTGAATATGATACTATGTAAAGAATAATTTTCCTTTTCATATTTATAAAACGTAAAACATGATACACCTGCAGTGGAGGCGTACTTTAAACCCTGAGTTTATGCCCATGACGTAGGTTTCGGTTATTCGGTATCTCGCGCGTTATTTTATTTACGAGTGGTAGAGGGAAAGAAAATGGAAGGCAAAACTTGTTCCGTCGATTTCTTTTATTTCAGTATGTTCTATGCAAAGAACACAATCCACTCTTATACTTAATTTCTTTCCCACTTATTCTTGAAAATACATTCTCTATTTTCCAGATAGGATACGTAACATGGCATTTTACCTGCAATATAATTTTTCACGTGATTTTCCGATGATGACATATCAAACCCATGTACATCAATATCAAAAGAATTTGCCCAGTGATTTTTGACTTCCATTGGGAATAGTAGAAGAGTTTATTTTAGATTTCGTTTTGGGATTTTCAGTGAGAAAGAAAAATGGAATAATTTTCAGTCCCGACCTAGGGTTTTGACCCTGACGGAGGCCACACCAGAGTCGAGACTGTGTCTCGTATATTTTTGCAACAGTTAACTGTATATAAATATAGAGATAGAAGGAAAACAGGGGGATAACCGGACGGGGAAGAGGGAGCTCGATCGATCGTACGAGTAAAGAGTCAGTCGGTTGTTGGTAGGCCGTTGCCTCCTCCATACGTATCCAATGAATTCATTCTTCATCTCTACCTTCCAACACCCTAAAATCCACCCTCCACCATTAATTCTTCTTTTCACTCGAGTCCAAGATCCATCATCCGCTTCCATTATCAACATGCCACAATTTTATTTCATCGAGATGAAAAATCATTTTGACATCAGAAAATTTATGTATAGCGTTCTCAATTCTTGTGATGTCACTGGAAATATTAATATAGTATTATATATTCATGATCATTTTAGGCAATTATATCTTCCAAATACTGGCCTGAAATCATTGGATAGGATTTGAAATGGGATGTGGACTCAAGGAATATTCTGCAATTGCTGTAATTTTCTCATGTAAATTTCCCTGAGAATTTCCCTATTCACGCTTTATTTCGGGAACTTGTGAAAAATTTCCGACGGAGATTCGCTAAGCTTTTCAGATTTTTCTCATCTTTCAGGAGCATTAAAATGCATTTTTTGCATCCGGCTTATCAGGAATTTTTTCTTCTGAATTACATGACCTTTTACCTTTCAGCACAAGATATCTCTGTCAGAATTCTTCGCCTCCAGTTTTTGTGGATTTGATAATTATGCAATTACCGCGAGTAATTACTGGGCCTGCACAGAATGTCCACGTGTTTTTTTTTTTTCGTAGAAAATTTGCTGAGCTACGAAAAATGGCGCAATTCCTCTGATTGATTGGTACAGTCTACTCGCGATGGAATTGTAAGTATTTTTTATTTATAGAACTCGATAAACCGATAAATAAGGTTGCAGTGGCATTATATTCTAATCAAATGTATGCCGTGGCTATGCCAATCGATAAGATATCCGAGCTATCGTTGCTGCAGGTCGTCAACTTCCAAGATTAATTCCACTTTTTCGTTCCTCTCGGAATATGGAATAACGTATTGCCTTACTAGAAAAGGAAAGAATGATTGAGACGATAAAATCCACAGCCGCACTTATCTAAAAACACAAATAAATAATATGAAACGTAGATAAATTCCCGCAGTTTTATGAAATTTAGAGTGGAAGATCTGATATTTTCCAAAACACTGCTATTTTCTTGTAATGATACTAATTGTCGAAATAATGATCAATTTCATGGTGGATTGATTACGTCATAGCATTTTATATCTGTATATTTCGTTTTTATTGTCGGTTTTTTCTCTCAACAGTCGTTAACTATCGATGCTCCTATGAGAACCGCCTTCAACATTTATATTGTCGACTAGTCAAGTAAGATAACAACATTTTTTAAAATATCTTACAACCGAAGAAAGATAGTGAAATTTTCATGAATATCTTTTGTGTACCTCTCATATTTCTCCAGACAGAATTTCATCGTTTTCTGATGTACATACTCATGACATATATACAGTTGTCATATTTTATAATTATTTATTAACTCCAGAATTTCATGATCGTGCAGTAATTTTCCTGTGATTTTTTCTAAACTCTCCAAAAATTAATAAAACTTGAGAGAAAACACGGGAAAATTATTGCTCATGAAATTTTTTGAGTCACGAAAGAAAACACAAAATCGTTATATTTTTTCATGTGAATTTCAGGGATAATTTGACCGCAGAATGACATAAATGGGGATTTTGGCAGGAAGAGTGTCAAACATCCTTAAACGTGTGGTTTTCCAAATGGTTACAATGCTCCAAGGTTACACCGCGTGGATTCATCGGTGAGCGCGATAACCCAAGCTGATAAAACACCCTTATCACTCAGCAGTGTCAATGCCATTGTCATGTTTTATTTCTGCCCCATTATCTCCCACCGAATTCCGGTGTAACCGCAGAATCAATTTTCCTGGAATCAAAATAAAAGGACGAGAATAAATCGAGTTTTTTTTTCGTGTTTCTCTTCAGTGGAAACAAGCCAATTCTCATTCGTAATGCGATGACGAATTTGTGGGCGATTGAGGAAAGGTCGATGAATTCATTCGGAATCAAATGTTGCCTTTTTCATGGGCAATAAATTATTCTGGAGAAAAATTATGCTTTGAATTTTAAAATAACAATATGTGTGACCGTCTGCATTTAAATCGCCTATTTTAGTGATGACACCCTTTCAAGTCAATTACATCATGAATTCAATTTTTTATTAAATTGATTGCTTGACCGTCTATTAAGATAATCCTTTCAATAATTACTACTTTAATGATTGATGAACCTTAGAGTTAACTATTTATACTCTGACTCTGGATTTAAAGGGAAAATACAGAGAAGAGAGAGAAACTCTGGGAAATTCCAGAATCCGGAATCAATCCAAAGTCAAATATCTCAATTTAATCGTTGAAAACTACAAGAAATTCAGTAAGTCGTAGTAATAAGTCGACATGAATATATAGCTGGAATGTACGCAATGTACTGCAATGCACTATTTTTCATCAGTACCGTAATGTTATCTCAATTATCAATGAAAAATTGCGATACCATCACTTAAATTTCCCGAGTCAATTCCGTAATCGATAAGCGAACCCCAGTTCCGTCTTCAATGACTTCATGTCTGAATCGTTAATTTTTATGATCAATCAATCATGAAATGACATGAACATCAAGAATGACCGATATTCATAAAATAAACAAAACACCCGAGGCGTTCAGAAAGGTGATGAAATGGGGGGAAAGGGGAAGAAGAGGTCGATGAATTTCTTGCGATTGAAAAGTGTCTGTGCCGTGACATTGACCTTGGAATTGATCTAGTGGATGTATTAACCGGGGACTTGCGTACGCCGGGAGGACCGAGAAGAGGCGACCTTGGCTGGGGTCATATCAAGGTCGTAGACGCAGACGCCACTCCTCCGTCAACGTTCCTCCTCACCCCCTCACCCCCTCACGGTCATCACTCTCTTTTCCCCGTTGTTTCCATCGCTGAACAACATTCCCACTTTTAAAAATTCCCTAAACTCGACATGATTAATTACAACCGCCTGTCGCTCGTTCATCACCACTTTGGAGGGCCATCCAATTGGAATATAGCTGCAAGTCAATGAATTGTATATTTCCGCAATTCTTTGAGAAAATCGACATCTGGTCAACGAAATTAAATGTTCTCTGCTCTCCTCTGGTTGCTGGCATTATATAGCCCAATGATTTATGTAAACAAGGTTGAGAACCTCGCGGGAGGTCCACGTAGGCTGAGACATTAGGCTAACAACCCCCAACACTCAGGCTATCGCCACAATGTCCAACTTCAGCCTTACTCCTCGATTTAAATGTTATGTACATTGCATATTCTGTCCTATCGTCTCCCACCCCCATCTAAATCACAGCTTTCAAGCATTTCAGCCACTCCATTCCAATTAACTCTAAGTTTACCATGACAATTACTTGAAAAAGGGATTACAATTAAAAAATGTTAATTGCACACGAAAACCAAAAAACGGGTTGTGACTTTCATGCACTTCATCAATGTCATTCATATGAATACCTGATCACATTCTCTGTACGGTCTCATTCAAAACATGGAATTAATTAAAACTTTATCTGAGGATGATTCCTTTCAAAACACGACAGGAGTGTAGGAACATCAAGAATTTTGCTGCAACAACGCAAAAGACTTTCGTACACGCCCCGACTTTAGGCCTCAGGACATTGGCAATTTCCGTGTGTTTTTAACGAGCCTATTTGCATAAATACTCGATAATATCTCATAGGACGACTTGCTCCAAAACATGGAATTAATGAGAAACTCAAAACATAGTAAAAACAGAGAACCAGCAAGGATTTTGTGTAAACGACGCTAAAGGGTCAAACAACAAAAATCCTTGTTTTTTTTTTAGCAACCCCATTCACATCAATACTCAATGACACGATTTGGCGCGAAACATGGAATTAATGGAAAATCTGTTTTTGGGGGGATTTGACAGAAAACATGACAGAAGTGTAAAACATCGTAAATTATGTTGGTACGTCGTAAAAGACTTGCCAACCCACTATAACTTCGTATTCATCGGCAATTTCCATCCCCTTTTAATGGTCCTATCTACATAAATATTCAATGACATGTCATAGCACGATTTGAGACAGGACATGGAATTACAGCAAGCTCTATCTCAGGGAGATTCATCTTGAAATATGGCAGGAGTGTAGGAACCCTGAGGATTTTGTGAAAACGACGCAAAAGGGTTGAGTATACAGCATAATTCCATCCCCTCAGGACATTGGTATCCCCTCAATCCACACACATGCACAGAATATTGGCACTCGAGGCGTTTTACGAACACAATCAAGCCGTTGAGGAAGAGAAGGAAGAGCGTATATAGAGGAAGAAGTTGCTTCGGTTTCTATGACAACAGACGCGCAAAAACCTGCACTGATATACCCCCAGAAATATAGACCTGTATACTCCAGGGGAAGAGGGAGGAAGGAGATCGCTTGCGAAGAGGTGTGTTCTTTTTTATCAGAATATATAAATTTTTTCATCTTGTTTCCCGGGGATGTGTCAACTCGGTTTTCATTTCCTCGCCATCGAGTGTCACTTCTTGTGGAAATGAGAGTTTTGACGACATTATTTGGTACTCTATCATTTTTATACTGCTTTCAGCGTGAATTTTTTATCGCACTGCTCTTCAGGGAGATGGGAAGTTCTTTGACAAGTTTCAAAGTTATTTTCTGTAGGGAATTAAGGGCAATTTAACGGAGAAATTTAATTCACGAGTATTTAAACACTGAATTTTGAAAAATTTTTGGGGAGATTTTTTTTTCAAAAACTCAAATTTATAAAATTTATGAATTTTATTTATTCACAGTCAAGCGTTAGTCATAGTTTTTCAATTGTATTCCCGATAAAAATGAGGAATAATATTTGAGGGTCTTCAACTAAAATAATATCTGCATTTCCCCAGTGATGGCCCTGCCACGCCGTTTATATTTTCGGTGATGGAAACATTTCTGCGAAATGGCGCATCTCGAATAATTCTGAGACAGTGACATTGCGTCATTTTTAGCACGAGGTCAACAATGATGCACCATTTGATTTACATTCCATTCATGACAAGTGCGAAAAACCTGAAACAACTAGAATAAAATAAATAAATGACTCTGTAAATTCTCAATTATTGATAAATCACGGATAAATAAACGAAAACAGAAAATTCCGATATAATTTGAGACACCCGTTGGCAGCTCATGACCAGAAAAAGATTTCTATTCACGAATTTGTTTAAATTGTTATTCAAAGGGGAAAGGAGGAATTGACGGGAAAAGAAAGCAAGATGGAGAGACTTGAAAGCGGAGGATTTACAGCTGAATAGTTAAACCTCAGGACAGATGATAAACTCATCGTTTTATGACTGACGGTGCAATGTTTGGCGAAGGCTGCATGACGCCTTTTTGGCTCATCGTTCTGCTTCTTTTCAAATATAAACAAACTTTCATAGGCTAACCAATTGCACGTGCTTACAGCCAACTCCTCCTACACCTCACCCCTAGACATGCACATGAATTTTCACGCTCAAACTCTGAGACTTTTGACCTGCATGCCAATAACCGTTCCTTGGCCTTGAGATCAATGCACCAAAAACACTGGGTGCAAGCAGATAAATCTTTTGTGCCACACGTTTCTCGGCCAATCCGATCAACAGATGAATTACTCCAATTAGTATATTCGAGGTAATTGCATCAATTGTTTCAACCTTCAGCGTTCCTCAACTCAACAAATTACTCTTGAAATTTAATAATTGAGTAATTAGTTTATTTCACGGTTATTCAACCAATGTCCAACTTCGTCCAGCTCTGCAGTGCTAGAAGAATCGCGAAAATTCAAACAATTTTCGAAATTCTGCAAGGAAGTTGAGAATTTAAAGTTTGCAAATTTTTATTAGACCCTCTATCGCCTTAAATATGAAGGGCTAAATTTTATTTAATTCACATGAGGAGAGGGATTTTATAAAGATTCACGTTATTTTTGGAATTTCAAAACGAAATATGATGGAGGAAAAGTTGGGTGTGATGGTGAAAAACTTTTTTTTTATTGTGCAGTGGAAATATTTTTTTCAAACAATTCTCGAAATTGAACACAGTGCATTTTGATAGGAAGTTGAAAATTTAAATTTCGAGTGCCCTGGTACTCAAATAGTGCGATTCAAGCCATTGATACTCTTGGATATGCTGTTGAGTGTAGCAATTTACCCTGTCCTGGGTATATCGTAAACTCGATGTAAAATTGAGACTCCTGGGGTTCAAGAACACCCGTCGACAACTCCCTTGATCAATACCAAAGCTCTTTACCCATTTGTGCACGATGGCATCTGAAGTTGAATAGACATCAACTTCACCCCTCGGATAGCTTGCATTTCTGCTTTCAAATTTTTTCGATGCAGATGTTTGAAAATGTTGAAATGAATTTTTAGAGGATATGTAAGTCTACGAGAATAAGTTTATTTGGTTCATACCCTGGAGTAATGTTTTGTGTCAAGGTTGGCGAATTTTCAAGCAGAGGATGAGCTGATGTAGCAGATTATAACTTGGAACAGATGGTCTAGGAGTTTCTAGTCATTACAGCATCCATATGTATGCGAAATTCGTGATTTTCGGTGCCCTTCATTTACTACCGCATCATTTACGTCAAATAGTGAATCTTAAAGCTGAATGGCTTATTGAATGGAGTATAACAGGTAGAATCTGTTTCAAATAAAAATTTCAAATAAAAATTTCTAATAAAAATTCCTAATAAAAATGCTCATAAATATTTCGTTGTACACCTGTTGTAATTGCATCATTGTACGTTGTATTACAAGTGCGGAAAGTAACATTTTTCTGGTCATATGCGTAACCCATTTTTTTTCTGAGGGAAGCAATGAGGTGCAGCAAATGGATGAAGTGAACATGTAATAGTGATGTGAAAAAATAGTTGGTTGATAATGAATGCAGCTCCGAGTTGAGTCGGGGAGTTGCAAGTTGCCACTGGGCCGTTGCATAGTGTTTTGAGTAGAATGAGGAGTGAGGAGTGAGGAGTTAGGAATGAGGAATGAGGAGTAAGAGGGGACCATTGGCGAAGTAGCGAATGGCGCGTCCTTAGCTCTCGCTCTCGGACGCTTCGGCCTTGAGACACAGCGATCCTCAAATGCACCGCAGCGCATTAAATTGTCCAACTGCTCATCTCGCCAAACTCTCAATTCCCAATGCACTGAAATTTCAAAATAAAATTCCGCATTAATCACCGAATGAAAATATTTCAAACATAAGTTGTAATAAATATCCCACTCGCTCGAAGAAATGATTTTTAAATCATCTCGACACCGGCAAGAATAAAAATAGGTCCTTTTAGCATCACCTCAGTGCATTTCTCGGATCAACGTTCAGTGGCATTAATCCAATGGTTGATATAGCCCCAAGGACCAACATATTCGAGGATTCGACTCATTTCAACTTTTACTCAACTCGATGTCCTTCTCTCCTGAATTTTACACCGTCGTATGGGGAGAAAGATCTTGTAAAAATTAAGTGACTCAATCGAAATGTGATTATTTCAGTGGTAGAGGTTTTTTTTAATGAGATTTTATGGCAAAATGATTTCTTGCACTGTTGTGTCTTGAAAAAAAAAAATACTACGAATTTTTTATTATTGTAAAATTTAATTTGTTAAAGTAATTTTTTTTTCTGAGAGCTGATATAGATCAAAACGTTATCTGTGGGGAATTCTTCCTGGAAATAACATGAAAATGTCGAGAACTATGTCTAATTGATTATTTATGTATTTCAATTATTTTTCAAGGTGTAATTTTTTAATTATCTTATGGTTTTTTGGCAAATTTTCTTCTGGTCGTGTATAATCAAACGAAGTTGCCCTGAAATTTAGCAGCAATGTCATTGAGAATGTGAGGGGTAACTGCAATTGCGTATAAAACCGTATCACCCGCTTATACACACGTTGTTATATTACCCGGTCGTTCGATTACCCGGTGACCCAAAGCCACGCAAAACACTCAGAGTGTAACCTTCCGGGACCAGTTTCAGCTATGGAGTACGTATTAAATAAAAAAAAATTCACTTTCACTTATACCTCACCCCACTGCATTTTCATCATGCTCCAATTTTAAAAACAATTAACAATTATTCAATTTTTCAGTTCAATTCTCAACCCAGTAGAAAATTCATCTTCCTGAATTTTTATAAACTTGAAATAAAAATTTCCACCTATCCCAAATTTCTTCAACCCCAGGATATGCAGCTAATTTTTCTTCCTTTCCAAAAACTTTCATTCAAATTAATTAAAAAAACCCGCAAATCTCAAATTACAATACACGAAAAGCACAACCAGAATTTTTCAAATAATCCCAGTTAAACCGTCCATTCCCTCAAATAAAAAAAATGTGAAAGTGAAAGAATGCATCTGTGTGCAAAATGGTGTTAATAATCGAGTTCTTTAAATAAATTGTCAATATTTCAATTTCGTCGGGAGAAAAGTAAATGAAAATGTGGATTTTGTTAATAACTTAATAGTTGGATTGGTGTGATTATGGAGTGTGTGAGTAATTGAACATAACAAATAGAAGCCGGAATAGATAGTCACTGAACTGGGCAGAGGTATAACCTTGAGAGTCAGTGAAGCGAACGGCCATCTTGGCGTTGGAGATGCACTTTTGTTTTTTTATCGGTGTAGTGGTATCCGCTGAGTCGGCCTGCTGATGTTGGCTTATCTGTACTGAATACTCACCCTCTTCCTCACCTTTTCCTCATCTCTTCTTGCTATTTCTCTCTGTCCCTCGTCCTATATGCCTCCTACCACACATTACCACTTCTATTCCCATTTCCCTCCCAACCACCTCCACCCGTCCTCTTCTGCATCATCATCTTCATCATCTTCATCGTTCTCTTCTTTTTACAACTGCCGACTCTCCGGTTGCATCGTCATCGCCACTTTTTTCTCACATTTTTCCCTTTGATAATAGAAATCTTCGCAGCACTTTTTTATATTCTCTAGAAAATTTTGCCGTTAACCATTTATTCCGGGTTTTATTTTCCTCCTGTCGTTAATTTCAATCGAGTTATCAACACTCGACTTGAACAGAGTGGATCGTCTCTCCTCATTATTTTTGAGGTCAGCCATTTTTTGGGAATAATTCATTCAAATGGATGCAGAAGAGAATTTCAAATCTTGTATATTGTCTTCAAGTTATATTCCTAAGGATTGTCTACTCAATTGATTTAATATTTTTCCATTCAATGTGACTTGAGCACAAGATCTTATTACAATTCGATGCTTGAAAATAATTTTTTCAATTATCCAATTTTTGAATTATGTAATTATTATTTTCCCCTAGATAATCAAGTGTTAAATATTCAATAAATTAAATTGACTGGTAATCACTGTTATGTAATGGGAAAATTGGTATTAAATGAAAAATAGATCGAAGTGTTTTATTTTGTTTGCATTGTATTTTTCTTTTGTGACTAGACCTCATCACTAATGTAACTTGCCTTTATATATACTTATATAGGTCAATGAACATTTGCATGAGTATCGGGTATATGTACGTAGGTCATGATTGCAGATAGTGGGTAGAAATTTTCTAAGGACACGAGTGAACTATCGCTGACAATGAGATTCATATCAGCGGTTACTTAATCAATAAAGCCTAAAATATATAGCTTGGGTTATATCTCGACTTTGTTGGGTGTCCACGTGCCATTGTCGACCAACGATCCTCTACACTAATCATTCAACTCCATTAGCTAGAGCCACCGTCTGCCATTTATAAAACTATCATTTTTTCAGTAGAAAAAATAGTGGGACGATTTTTATCGATTCGGATTATATTTAATTGGCGAATACAAATATTCAATATATCCATCTACATACAGGGATAATATTGCAGATCCTGGGATTTTCAATTATTAAATAAACTAATTAAATGGTGTTCAGTTCCCTTTTCATTCATGAATATTCATGCATATATTGTTTTTTTGAGTTTATTAATGAATAATTAAAATGGTTCAGTTCTTCGATCTTAATATCGATTCCTTGCAAAATTAAGAACAATGGAATAATTATTAAGATTCAGAAAAAAAATATTCTCAACCGATAAAATTCGTTGTCATCATAGTATAAAATAATGACAATTTTTGACTCAGTCCACAGTCCATATATTTTCTCGTGGTTAGTAATGTAGTTTAAAAAAATAGTTAATATTTTTTCAATTTATTTAGGATGTAAAGGTGGATAAGTGGTAAATGGATGAGATGGAGATGGTGTGTGGGGGTGGTTTTGAAGTAGTCAGTAGGACCAACAGAGGTGAAAAGAGTGGGCAGTGGCAGTAGTGGTAGTAGACAGTGGTGCCAGGCGATGGTGGCGATGGTGGCGGTGGTGGCTCCTCCTAACCTCGAGTGCTGACTCTCTGGAGCGGTCCGAGAGCGGGCGCCCGCGAGCGAATCGAGCGCCGCCCGGCAGTCGCGCGCTTGCATTCTCAGCGGTTGGCGGATGCTGACTTCAACCAAACGTCGAATGTCCAAGCAATTTATATCATTTCACAACAATTAAAACCAACCACAACATCAAATCACCGCATTAATCATTCATCAAGTGACGCTGATGATCAGTCAACCGGTGTAACCTTAAAAAAATCAGTGATTATATATTTAACGAGTGAAAATTCGTTTGTATATACACAGAACCGTCAAATATTAATTTGCGTGTGTGTGTCCCTCTGGTGTCAGTGTGAGGGGTGTGTGTGTTATGCGCTTGCGTGTGTTTTCAATGTCTCAAGTTGTGTGTGTGTGAAGACCCCCGGGGAATCAAAAGCGTGAAAACGAGTGAGACAGATGTAAAAACGTTTGAATATTGAAGTGAGATATCGGTATTATCGCACGTTTCATCGAGTCAACGCACGTTAATGTATATACAAATGCCGAGGAGAGTTATGTGCTGAAGAATCTTTTATTCTTACATTTGTTTTTGTTTTTTGTTGTTCCGCGGACGGGGGGGGCTTTTTTTTTTTGTCATCGGAGGAAAGTGGCGTGCACGTGTTGTAAAGTGTTTCGGCATTTCAATTTGCTGGATTTGACAGTTTTCTTATTTTATTGTCTATGTTGGTGAGGAGGTGGAATTACTGGTGGGGGAGGAACTTTGAGGAACGCACATTTTGTGAGTATTTTTCATTTTTATTCTTGGATTTTTTTTTCTGGGTTGGGAGGGTGGCTACTGTCAAGGGCGGTTTTGCGTCGTTTGGGGAGAGGACATCTTGAGCGACGGGGGTTTCGGCGAGTATTTGTTGGAAGGGGTTTTGCAATATTTTTTTAGGGGGTTGGCAGATGTCCGGGGAATTGTTTTGGGAGGGAATATACTGAGACTAAATTATTTTGGCTATAGAAATTTACAAACTACTGAAAAATCCGCACAGTTCAAATACAAGTATTCATATATTTCTTAATTTACCCAGCAGGAGTAAATGAGATATGTTATTGATTATAACGTACAGGCAAATAATCTCAATTGTTTTTTCAAATGTTTCAAGAAACTTATTCAATCCTTAACGAATATTGACATGAAATGTTTCCTTTGATGCGTAAACTTGTTCATTTTTTCGATGAATTTGAATTGCACTCAATTTATCATTTTATTTTTTGTTATGAATATTACGTTTAAAAATGTCTGAAGTGCCAATTGTGCTTATATGTCTGATATTTGAGAATATTTTCCCAGTCGAGTGGTTTTAAGGTAGAATACTCGGAGATTTGTAATTTATTTCGAAGCTGTCATGCTACTCATGCTCCAAAATTATCGGATGTTTTTCGATAGGCTCGATGTTTACAGAAGTTTCAAATTTCATGGACTAAAACCTCTAAGTCAGGAAGTAGTTTACGTGATCACATTTCCTCGTTATCTAAGCATTATTTTTGGAGTGCCATCGATATTAATAGGGTATTCTTTTCTAATTCAGATTTTGAATAATCGAAGTGCAATTTTCGATTACCAAATAAACCCCAAAATAAATAAATAACTAGGATGAGATGTAAAAACTGAGATGTAGTGGCAACGGGCCAAAATGCACCTCTGAGACTTTCTTCCGATGTCTGAACTTTATTGAAGTGTTGATTAAATGGCAGATTTTTTTTGCACGTCTTCACTTCTCTAAATACTTTCAAAAAGGAGAAAAAAAAATTTTTTTTACTCCATCGATTTCGAGTTAACTTTTACGATAAATCTTAGAGAAAAGTGAGAGCCACGGAAATGTCTTCATGAGGATTTCAATTTCTCTTCTGAATTACGAAATATTTTGGAAATGAATTTTGCTTTATTAATTGAATATTAAAGTACTTCTTGTCAATTGACAAATTCGGGATTATGCAATATTGAGCGGATGCAATACTTGAAATGAAGAGAGAGGGATAACGAAACCTCGAGATTATTTCTCCAATTATGCTGACATATCGAATACTTTCTCGGAATGTGGAATCAGCTCTAAGCAGCTGATTTATTTTCTCAGACCCTGCCTCAATTTCCAGAATTCTCCATGTTTTCTGTTTTTTATTCTGATTGGCAACTTAATTAATGAATAATATATTTGCAACGTGCGTAAATAAAATTTTTCATTCTGCCAATTGAAAAAAAAATTTCCACATTTTTGTCCACAGAGGAAACAAATAAGATTGCTACTATATTGTTCATAAATATGATATTTCTTGTTGAAATCCATCGCTTCTTGACACTCGGACGTTAACATTTCCATTTACCCTTCAAAAATGAACTCTATTCAATTTAAAACTCAAAATACTTGACTTTCTAGGGAACCCAGAATTGATTTATTGATGAATGGGGAATTCGAAACAATTCCGATGACCCCCCGACCTCTCATTATCATACTTCTCACTACCTCATAAAACAAGTGACCTAAACTACATGTAGATTCCTCAAACTATTTTCGAAGTTCATCCACCCACTCGGAGAAACTTTTCATGATTAATACCCGTAGAAAGAGAATATTCGGACCATGGATATTATAAATACCCGTAGACAATTGTTATGTCGATAAGAAATTAAGTCAACTGAGCGAAGAAAATTCTTGCCACACTAAGAAAGCCTTAAGATTTATGTGCTAGTTCAGCAGGCATGAGAGAATGAGAACTTGTAAAACAAGACATTCTCTACTTTATCGGCATTTTATCGAAGGAATCCGGTTTGACCCCTTACGCCACTGAGCCTATTACAGAGAATAGTAAGGAGAGTACTCTTAGTCCTGCACTCATTATTGTTCTGGTATTCCAAGGTTAGATAATCATGCTAAGGTTAATAAATGCACACTTTGGTCTAGAAAAATCATCGAATCTGATTGATTTTTTCATTATAAATTTGTCAGTCAATTTGTTAACACGAATTATCAAAATTAGCGTAATTAAAAAATAGAACATCTGAGGAAATAACCATTTCCGTTCTTGTCCGCGTTTCCGGTGGTACATCGAATATAGAAAGCATTTTAATCGGTAGATTTTTTTTATTCCCGCAGAAATCTTTCATATTTGACTTGTCGATTTCTCCGATTAAATCCCAAATGACAAAACCGCGATCTAACTTAAAATACCACAAATAGACATCTAATACAACTTTACGTTAATCATGAGTTGGGAAGACTAGTTTAACAAGACGACTACTTGATTTGAAAGTAAAAAAAATTGAATTGAATTTCAATAGTAGGTCTAACATTGCACAACATCTACAAATAAATAATTATATTATCTAGGTCTTAAAGTTATCTCAATCATGAGTAAGAGACTTTAATGGCAATCATTATCGTGTCCTTTCGAAAAATCCAAAAATGACGTAATTGGACTCTCTAATTTCAACATCTTACTGTGAACTTAAGACAATGAGTCTAATTTTAGAATCAACCGGCCAATCGCCTAGAAAATTATTTTTGCGAATGAAAAACCGTGTGCACATGTGCCTGTGAGCTGGTTTCTTTTTCACTGACTGTCTGTTTGTAATTGACTGCAATTGAAACTGCAGACAACACTGAAAGAAATTCAAATTAGGGTGTACGAATGATTTTTGTATTTAGCCTCATGAATAATCGATGGAAGTTCTTATATTGCAATTGTGGTCGATGCCCTAGAAAAAAAAGCGCAATGAATATTCAATTGGGAATGAATAACAGCGACAAAATATTCATAAAATTTCGAATTATTATTTCTGGGGCTGAAAATGAGAATAACCCGCGGAAAAATATCCTCTGCTCGACGAGATTGTTTGACAGGTTATTTTTTCGTTATCATTTTATCAGTTTTCGTTGGATTAATCTCTAGAAGATAAATACAAGTGCAAACAGCAATGGGGAAAGTGACATTTTTCACCTTTAATGCATTGTATTTACCAACAATTTAGTACTACATATTTAATTGTGGCAATTAGTGGTTTCGCCAACTGTAGAAAATGTAAATGAAATCCTGTGGATTCCGTGAGTCTTCAATGTGAATATTTTCATAACCGACATCATTTTACCGTAGACTTTCTCCGATTTTACGAACGGTTTTAGCACATTCACTGTGCCAGGTACTGTTTTATTGCGTATCGATGATATTTTCGATTTTTATTTTCTGAAAAATGACCGGATTTCATCAACTAAAATTCCTATTCTATTCGACTATTCGACTAGGGAGAAAATGTCGTTTGCGAATTCCACTTGAAAGTCTATCAATCGACTACTAGCTAACAACTTTATTCATCCATTTATCTCTGACTCCAGGGAAATTAAAAAATTGAGAATGGACCAGTTTTTAACATGCCCATATCCCCAGAATCCTACACTGAGAAAAAAAAATCATTTCCCAAGCACATCGACTTCTCTTCAGTAAATCAGTAGAAATCATTTCAAATACATTTTCTCGTGTTCAGTAAATACAGAAGATAATTTTTTTGTCTCAGTGTATATTTTTTTTGGCGTTCAATGGGTGTGTATAACCCCAAAGTTGGACTGCAACTGTTTTGAGAATAGTGAGTGGCTAGGTTGCACACGCTTGCGCGCCATTGGCACATTCTTTGCCTGCATCAACACGATCAACACAACCAGGAGGTCACTAGCGATAAAGGTCAATAACTATTTGCCCGGCAGACTGCACTCGCTATTATACTCAATAAAGCGTTGCGTCGTAGTTTTTTTTAGATTTCCGTGAAAAAGAGAAGTACTGAGAGGTGTCCCCTCTCCCGTTCAATTGTCACATTCAGTCAATGCATCATCACCTTAATTATTAATATAAAGCATCGAGGCTGATGACGTCAGTGTATCATTTTTAGCGTACACGCAGTAGAAGCCTACATACCCAGTGAGTCTGCGCTGTGCAAGGCACAAGGATGCAGTAATGTGGGGGGAGAGAAAAAAAAAGGTGAAGACCAGTTTTTAAAAAGAATAAAGAGGGTGGAGGGACTGAAAGCATATCGTTGGATTGGGGTCGATGTTTTCGGTGGAGATAGTATAATGGGTATTTCTGCGCGTCAATGCGTCGTCGGGTGGCCATGGGCTGCACTTCATACAAGCACATGTACACCAGAGCTTTCCCCCATCTCGGCTTTGTGCTACTAACCGTTTGAAATTGTTGACGCTTCAATTGGAGGGGAGAGACGTCGAGAGTTTACTCTCAATTCGAATCCAATGGAATGCAGGTGTTTTACAATTGAAAATAGTTTTTTAAATGTTCGTATCTATTTATCTGGTCGAGTCGAATCGTTGTAGTCGTTGATTTTCATTGGTCTATTTTTTTTGGTTATGTATATAGTCTTCGAATAGCTCGAAAATTCCATTTTTTCAGTGGCCATCGTTGTGTATGTATGTGTTTTCAGACTTTATCTCCTGTTCGGTGGTAATTCTTCTGTGGAATTAGAGATTTTTTTTTCTTGTATTTCTTGCATGGGATTCTTGAGGGCTAGTCGTCGATATTCATTTTCTGTATTTTTGGATTTTTTTTTTCGAAAATTTGATGAATGTTAGGAAGAACTTCGGGGCTCGTCAAAAATTTTATGATCTGTTAGTCCAGATGATGATTTTTCAATTATGACTTTCAATTTAATACCAAATTAATTCGATCGAAAATTTTGCCTAAAAGTCGCAGAAGATTCTCAAAAAATTCCAAGTTTTCTTTTTAAAAATTTCAGATGTAATTTTTTGGTAGTGTATCTCCGCGGTAAAAAATTGATAAAAATAATAGTGGATATGAGATTTAATGATTGAGTGGGGAGAATTGACGTGAAATTGGTTGAATGGTGGCTGTGAAACATGTGACAATGTGGCACGAGACACAGTGTCGTTTACGGGTCGTCAGCTCTCGTCGAGACAGTACAACTGACAATAAATGAGAATATTATATTCCCTCGGAGTGGGGTATATGTATCATGGCTTCACGCTTGACTTGTACATATGTGAGAGAAATGTTGCACTTGTGTTTGTGTACACGAATGAGGTGTGGAGGAGTACAAGATGGTAACGCATCGTGGTCATTTATGGGCGGCTCACGCCGGCATGAATGGCCTACTATCGCACTTTAAATTGCTATATTACGTCATGCTTATAACAGTCTCGTTATCATTAAAATGTTTAAATAATCCTCATCCACGTACACAAGCGTTATTATTTTTTTGTCTAGCAAAAAAATAACAATATTGAACAATCTTAAAAAATTTTCTATTCGATTTGAATTATCAGAGTAAAATATTAACAATACAGATCTTTTATATTCTCGAAGTGGAAAATTCAGAAATTCAATGTCTTCCTCGTCTTCTAGAGATAAATTACACCTGAATGCAATACAAATAACAATAAACTTTTCACTATGAAATATCCTGAGATAAAAAAGTAAAATTTTTTATCAAACTTCGCTGGTTTTAGTACCTTCTGGTGTTTTTTCTGTTAAAGCCGTCAATCTTGGTATCATTTATTTTCATAGTTTTTGCAAATCAAAAACTACGAAAAAATTATTAAATAATATATCGCTGAAAAAATGAGGTTCTCATGGAATTAATTTCCACCATTTCATCACTTCATTACTGAAATAATTTTTTTATCGAATTGAAGTTTCGATTGCAATCTCAATCATTATTCGTACGAACTATATTATAATATTTTCCGAAAATATTTATTCATCTGCATTTTTCATATTCAGGGTCACTCAACGGAAGTGGCAGCACTGTGATTTGAGATAGGTCAGTCTATTTCTGTGTGTAAATACGTTATCGCGAAAGAGAGACGATTTCTCGTGGCTATAGACATCAAATTGTCCATGCAAATTCCATGTAAATGGTGAGTGTCGTGTGGGAATGAAAGATTTACGCGAATGAGTCGTTGATCATAACGTCAAGCCACGATTGGTGTCTAGAATAAATCACTAATTTTTTTACGGAAGATAAGCACAGACAATCTCCGGATAATTATTAAAGATGTTCCACACCCTTTCAGTCGAAATCCACCTTTTCATTAATTCTTAAATATCGAAGATTATTTCTTTAGTTTGTTTATCCAGATACGTGATATTCTTAAGGTTTTTTCAATTTGTTCGGAATGAGTTTCTTGCTGAGGCGCATAAAAATTCCATTGGTACTGTCTCCATTGACCTCAACCGTGGAAAATGAATATTTTCATTTCCATCTTCATTTTGAGAGTTGTCGTTCAGTCGCAATGACATTCTTCTGCACTGACATACCTACACTAAATTCCTCTGAGTGACGCAATAAAACTCCGCGACGGCTGAATGACTCTTACAATGGCGGCTCAATAATAAGTTAAGAAAGAAAAAAAGACGGGAAATAACAACGGACTTTCTCGGTTGTGGGCATAAGGCAGGTCCGATGAGCGTATGCAAATATGTGAATGAAATTCGTCATCAGTTTTCGCGTTCGTGATCCGTGAAAGGAAAAATAGTGCGGAATTATAATTTTTGGGGTTTCAGTAGTCAGATTCCCATAGAAAAATAATATTCGCTATTTTCGTGAATATCTTGGGAAAATCCAAATGGAAAAATCTCCTCTAATAAAATCCGTTGGTGCTCCATCAGAAAATTACTCTTGAGGTTTCAAATTAAAATACAACAAAACATGACATATTCTTATAAAAAATTTCAATTCAAGTGAAAAGTATTTTTCCTGAAGAATTCAAGATCTTTTGGAAATATTAGCGATTGTTTAATGGAAAAATAAATTGTAGTCGATTTTCAAAATGAATGAGAATTTTTACAACTGATTTGATCTGAAGTTCAATTCACAGCTTCGAAAATTCAGAAAATATTTTGAGAATAGGAGTTTAAAAATCAGGATTGAAATTCGAAAAAATTGCAATGTAATTGAGTTGAGTGAATCACATTAGGAAAATTGTGATAGAAAATGTCGATTGAATTTATGGTCTGGAAAAATGTGGTTGGCATGAATATATTTTTATTGGAGTGAAGAAACTTTTAGCGTACGGTGAATGACCGAGTGACAATGAATCAAAGTAAACTCTCCCCCACGTCAAAAAATACTGAAAATAATGTTGTTCTGTTGAATTATGATTGCAGATGGTGTTGACAAATCGTGTCCGGGTAAACCCATCACCAGTGACAACGACTGAAGGCAATGTGGCTCAGTGGGGAAACTCGAGGAGGTGATAAAGACTTCTGACCTTGCATAGATCGGATCCAAGAGCAGGATCCTCCCAATAATTCTCCAATCACTCACTAACAAACGAAAGACAAAAGTTTCCCTAATTTCCTCTAACTACAAGATAAATACAATCCACATAGTAACGCTAGAAAAAAACAACAGCAACATCAACAACGTTGAAAAATAACGTACATTACCTTCTACCTTGAATCAATATACCTCGTACCTACAAGTACCTTCAAACATCTACCTTCGACAGCGCAATAGTGCCTGGGTCACCGAATATATTAAATATTATAAAAGCAAGTACATAAACATAGAATTGTTTGTTATAAAGGAGAATGGAGAGTTACAACGCCAATTGCTGCATCCTTAATGATTAAATAGCGTTTAAAAATCACAAATTTCATAAGCTCACGCACACATATATTCTATGCTAAAAGATTAATTACTCAACACTTAATCGAAACCAGGACAGACAAGTACCTGCTGACAGATATATTTATAAAGTTAATGATAACCAATACTTAAACAGTTGGTGAATTAATTTCGTTAATGTAAAGGATATAACGTGTAAGTTTAGTGAATTGTTCAGTGAGTGAGAAGACAAACTGTTGGAAGTCTTTTTTGGACTAGCTCCAAAAATATTCACCGATTTTTTGATACTTCGGAGCTGGAATACTCAGGGTGAGTTGCTTTAATAGATTTTTATTTTTGTGTGCTATCCAAAAATATGAGCATGTGGAGGATTAGTTGGAATAGTTTTCTTTTCAACTAAATTGGGTTCTCCTATAAAGTCGAATCAAAATTAATTTAAATGAGACTCATATGAGTAATATACAATATTTTGGCTTTTATTGGAGCGAAGTACGAAATTTCCACCTATTTGCGAATCGGGCATATTAATTTTCTCTCGTCATCCACAAATTTGATTAAACATATCCAATAATTCGATGTCGCATCAGCGACCGGGCATTTAACCGTCAGATGATTGTCGCATGACAGATGTCAGTTATTGAAATTGTCGTATGACCAAATCATAACGGCATTATAACCTGATTGTTACAGTTTAATTAAATGGTTCAATTTGAAAAATGCTGTCAAATCGTTGGGGTTTTTGGAATAATATATGTTGAGAGACTTTGATCGTTATTTTTGCTACGTAGGTGGTTTTTGGAGTTGATAATCTTGAAAAGTAATATTTTTCATGCCATTTTAATTGATATTTTAATGGTATGAAAATAGCCGCAATGATATTCGCACGAAAGCTATTGTATCCAGGGGTATAATACTGCTCTACGTGACGAGTTCGCCTAGGTCTGAGTGTCTGTATGTCGACAGGTTGTACGCGATTTGCATTTTAAACCTGAACAATTCCTCGAACCATCCGGCATTTGATCCCTCACTCCCTCCGTCGTAAAGTCGATGGAAAAGTCTTCTATCAGGCCTAGTAACCGTTAGAGTGAAAAATCCCTCCGTTCTCATCGTTTTTTTTTTCATGCCTACAGAAGCCATAAAAAATCTCAGACAGGCCTACAACGCATTACAATTCAAATACAAATTAAGGATGTTCGACACCTTTTTATGGTAGATTCACCTGTTTATTTCATTTTCCTGACAAATTATCGATAGGTTTAACATGAATAAATATAACGTTTTTGTATTTTGTGATTTTTTTAAGTTTAGAAAAAACGCAATAAAATATTCGCACCCGCTTGAGAATTTGTAAATCATTGGATAATTACGGAATGCAAAAATATTATATTTTTTCGTGTCAATCCTATCGTAAGTTTGCGGAAAAATGAAAAAAAAAAGTGAATTTTGGCAGGAAACGTTTAAAGCATCTTTAACGATTTTATTAATTATCGTATACAAATAGATGAGATGCAGTTATTGTTTGATTGAAAATTATTTTCGCAGATTTTCATGCATGTTGTATAACAAATATTTTTTCAACTGTCGTGTTTAAAAAACAAGCAGGCGCAAAAATATACAACTGTTTCTCATCGATGGGATTGTTTAAAAACTTTAGCTTCTCTGTCTTTCGCTTAAGTCCGTACACCATCATATTTCACATATTAATCATTTAAAAAATGATACTTCAAATTATTTCGAAAATCAGATAAACAAATAACAAGATGACAAGAATTTTGGAGCCGCGTCTCAATAAAAAACGATTAATTATTACTATAAAGATACGAGGAGTTCCAATAGTGTAACTCCTTAGAATTAAAAAAATTATTTTTATAAAAAAATTGAATTCAATAATTGTTACTTCACTTCATCTCGTTTTTTGGAAAATCCTTGATTTCTTCGCGTAAGGTCTTGCTGGTTGTCAGCAGAAGTGAATATGAAAGGGTTTCATGGACAAAAAAAAATGATATAATGACAAAGACATGGAAATTCACAGCAAAAGCTTGTGATAAAGGATATAATTTAACTCTGTTGATAGCTCTGATAGGATGTAAAAGGATACTGGGGGGATTATATCACCATACAGTAGTTCTGTTCTGTCATTTCCACAAGAGCAAGGAGGGCTGCATCGGTGCAGAGGGGTGGACAGAGTGGATCTTGAATAATAGAGAACGTTCTATTTATGCTCTGAAATCAATAACTCGCCTACATCAGAGGGGAGAGAGTCTCTTCTTCTTTAGTCATTCGTCCCTCCAATGCTCGCTCAGTTGTACTGTCGCCGATTTACTTAGAGATTGCCATATCTTCAGAACTAATTCCGTACTTGATTCCCAATTACATTACATTCCTTCAATATCTTTCAAGTTACTCATTATTTTTATTACTCCAGTTACAATTCCCTGCTCACCTCTCGTCACGTCAATATTCAATAATATTCTTTATCCACATTTTCATTGTTTAGTTATTTTTTAAAATAATTAATTCATAATTCCCTGAAAAGAGTGATGATTGGAGTGACGATTGGAGTGATCATTAATTGAAAGATAAATCCTTCCTATTACAAAGAAAAATCGAGAAAGATGGGACTTATGTCCCTTTGATTTTGTGATGGGTATATGGAATTAGCAGAACGATTCCAGTCATTCCAATCATGTTCAGTTTGTTTTGGTTCTCGTGTTTAACCTTTCTGATTGTTCCTCTGGTCTTTTCTATTTGACCCTTCCATTCGATTCTTGTGACCATTCATATGCGGTATGGGTATACTCGTAATAATTCAGCAAATATCCAATTAATGTATTCGAATCTCGAATTGAATTGCGCTATTCTATTGAATCTGTTTTCTACACTATTCACACACAGCCCTCCATCCCGAATTTTCAATATCTTAATAAAAAATATTTTTCGAAATATTTATCCATTATTTAAAATAGAATAACTATTCAATGAGTGACAAAATAACGTTTGACAATTAGAAATTAGAAACAATTAGAGAAAAACGCGAAAATTATTGCGCGCTCGTAAAACACTAAATTCCGACAAAATAATCTTTGTCCATTCACAGAATTAAATTTAAAGAGACAATACTAAAATATTTCCATAAATATAATATGCAATAAAAATTATTGAAAGCCATCCTTCGGATGCGTATTGCTTATTTATTAGTAACAGTAAATAGGCTGAAAGGAAATGTAGGCAATTATCCACTTGTTTTTTTTTTTTCGTTGCCTCGTTTTGTTATATTTATGTCTGTACATTAGGGAGAATATAAATGCGTTATTCGCTTAGGGCAGGTCGCGAAAGCGCGTCTCTTTAAATCACGGTGAGGACCGCAATTATCCGTCTGCGGCCCGGAAATAGACTAACGCTGAGGGATAAATAAATCCATGGATGGCCAGCTGTTGGTTGTGGTATCGTGCTAACAAAAAATGAAAGGATGAGAGATAAAAAAAAGTGCCACCGACGTCGTTATGCCCATCCCCCTGCAACTTTTCTGCCTATCGCTTCACGGAGTGAGAGAAAAAAAAATGGGACTTATGCTTGCGCTCATCTTAGGAAGCAAAAAATCTCAAAACTTTTGGAGAAGATGGACAAAATAATCGTCGGTCGGACGGTCCACTTTAATTCTTCTCTTGTGGTGTTGTTATTGGGTTTATTCTATTTTCGTTTTCGTTTTGGTTCTTTCTGTTTCCATTTTCATTTCTTCAGTACTTTTTCTGTTGAGATAGGGCCTCAAATATTTATGCGGGTGGTGGAGTTACGGAGGCTATAGTTGTGGGTATCACGGGAAAACTTTTATTTTCTTCACAATATCTTTTTGTCATTTTCAGCCGATTTTTCCATTTTTTCCTCCGTGCAATTTTTTAATGAATAATTGAATGTTTACGAGTACGTCTATTCGTTATAATCCTTTATTATAACATCATGGAAAATGTTCGCCAAGATCAGCACCTCGAAAAATTCGCTGAAAAAAAAAAACCAATAATGACAATCTAGAGACAAATAATTAATTCCCCTTCATCAATTACCTTAATGACGATTTTTTTCCTCGTGAAGTATCAAAAAAAGGAAAACAACGACAATTTCCTATCGGGCAGGGAGAGCATTAGAAGGCGCGGTGAGTCTTCATTAATCAACCCTGTCTCAAGGTTAATTTCTCAATACCCCCGACCTCTGACGACTACAATATACTGGACAAGCCATTGAATGATTCCGCGAGAATTCACGTCGCGGAATTCTGTTCCTCATCCATCGTCCATTTCTTTATTGTCATTATCATTATCATTGCTTTATCATTATCCAATTTTATTTGTTTATTCTTTGGTCTCGCTATCCTTCTTGTTTCCGTCTTGGGTATAATCTTTCACTTGGTTTCATGGCCAACGACATTCCACGCGCATCCGACTTTAAGCATCTACTTGTTATTCAATTTTTCACGTTTGTAATAAAATCTCAGAGATATCATAGGTATCATGGCGATGAGCTTGTGTTATTTTGCCATAATATCTTGTTTTTTATGGAGTTGGAATTACTTTCATGAGTTCCAACACTCTCATACGAGTTTAGAACTCATTAACACCATCTCATTTTTGTCTGTGATGTAGTAGGATTTATCAGGGATCTATTATTGGTTGGAGATTTGTTATACATTTTTATTAATCGTTGAAAATGTCATTTTAAAAAATTTCAAATTGATTTATGTTGCGCCCTGGTAAAATAATATGAATGTTTAAGAAACTTCCGAAGGGGAAATCATTTTTATCGTTCGTTTTGTTCTTCTTAAAAATTTTACATAGTAAAATATATCCGAAAAATCGATGAAAAATGTTGGCAAGCATTTGCGATGTACCATTCTTCTCCAACCATGTATTTTAGATTGATATACCCGTGTAAGAGCAGTGAAATTATTCAAGGGAATGCGGATGGGAAAAACTTGATGTTTCCTTCAACAGCCTGTCATTACTCGATGCTTATGCCCTCAGGATTCCGCATTTTCTGGATTTCACATTCGAAAAAGCTACCCCATTCTACCTCAACATCCCTCTTAATTCTTCTCGTCGAAGAAAAATAAAATAGAGTGAAATACAACGTCAGAACAAGAGGATTTCCTCCTCGTGGTTCATTTAATCTGCTGTACTTAGTCCTGAGAGCTAAAATGCTATTATGGGGTACATGCGCAATGCAACTGGGACATAGTCCATTTTCCCATTTCTTTCATCTCATTTTTTTTTTTAAGAAAACACTAACGTGCACCATAGCCTGCTTCATGATGTCGAACATACCACTAATTAAAAAATCATATCACAAGCTTACGCTGAGAAAGAAATTACTTTTACTAAATATATTTTCTAACGACAGGAAAATACTCAGACCGTAAATGCAAATATTTATACATATTTGTGGCAATGCGCTGCGTCAATTTACATGGTAGAAGTAATTTTTTTCCGCCAGTATACTTGTTAATATTTCCAACGCGTTAACCGAGTGGATTTAGTAGCGCGAACAGCAGCGAGAAAAAAATTTAACTACAAATTACGTGACAGTTTCATAAACGTAACGTGAACTGTCATTTCGTAAAAAAATTGCGGTACTAACTTGAATTTCTAAATGTTTGTCAAGTAAAAATTATGTCGCATAATAACTGCAATAACGCTTACGATAAAAATGGTGAAAATTGTTGGAATTTTTATTATTTAAGTCATATAATCCCCAGCGAAGTGTTAGACTATTCAGCCAATATCGCGTAATCGAGGACACATAAACAATTTCTTGCACAAAAATTTTTCATGGAAAAATAGGACAGCTAAAATAAAAATATCTTCAAAAAAAAATATCTGCATCTCCCTTCAATTAAAAAAAATCGAGTGAAAGAAGAGTAGCCTCGAAAAAGAAGACACTTATCCCAGTTAACTTCGCAACATGAATTATAATATGAATATCTGCTTGCGTTTTTAATAGAGCTTGAGGGAAATTTGGTGGAGTCAGTGGGCAAATTTGCAGGGTTGTATGAGAGTAATGAGTTTAACGTGGTGTTAAATAGGTAAGAATGGGTTTGGAGAGGATCGATGAGAGTTGGTAGAGACGTGGGGGTTGTGAGGGTGGAGAGTAAGGTTGGAGGGATTGGTGAACCCCGGGACGAGGGCAGGCATTGACCTAGATGGCCTCTGAATGCTGTGAGAGTGGTCCCTGGCCGTGGCGCGCATGCATCCCAAACACATGACGGCTCTGCCACCTCAAGCACAATCTCTAGTGCTCACGAGTCTGCGTCATTTTATCCCAGGCCCTCCTTTCCACCACATAAACACTCTCTATGTACCATTCCATACATATATACATTTTTTCGCTTGTTTTTCTTGTTGAGGGACGGAGAAGGGAATGAGGAGGCCAATCCTCGAGGTATCGCGGGTGGGAGCGTGAGGTTGTCGGCACGACTCTCCCAGTCACCCTCGAGCCACCCGCACCATCCGCACCACCCAAACCACCCACCGCGTCTCGGGTATTGATCGCGTCTGCGATCCCCTAATGTCCAGGGATATGACCGAAAAATTTCTACCTCACCCTTACGCTTTTTATTTTTAACACTCACAATCATCCCTTGGGAGAGGCTGGGACAAAATTAAATGCCGGGGTAGAATTGAATACTGGGGAAAATGCAGCACTCTTTTGCGGATGTTTTATTTATTTATTTTCATTCCAACTGATGGTTGAAGGCATTTAGTCGTCGGTTTTAATTGCAATTACATTTTAATTCAGCAAGTGAAAATTCGGATGACATTAGAATTTGATAATTATTTTATTATCGCAAAGGGAAAATTTCATTTTTTGTTTGAACCATGGAACTTTTTTTACTCTCGAATGAAGATAATTTGTGGTGTCTTTATTCTCAAATTCTCATGTTTTCCAGTAATTTTAGTCGATGTCAACAATGAATAAGTTCTGGTAATTGCTGCAGATTGTGGGTGAAAAATATAGACAGCACTGATAAATGTATTTTTCTGTGCTAATAAAAATTGGAATGGAACTGTCAATATTCCGACGATCATTTTTCGAGCATGTAAATTATAGATAAGCGAGAAAAACACTCGGCGACTTAAATAACGACTTTATATATCTCTACACAATTCCTCAGACAAGATAACCCCGAAAATTCAATCACGTTATTTTTCTAATTATTCAAATTCTATCAGACCGATCAAAAATATAAAAGAATTTCTTCGTGAAATTTTACACAAAAAATGCCTCAACATTTTTTTGCGCTTTCTTTTTTTACTATTAACTTTTTTAATCCAGAAAAATAAACAATATAATTTGGATGACTTTAGAGTGAATTTACAGGGGATTAGAGCCTCGGAATCTCGTTGTGAATAGAGAACAGAGACTAGGCGAGAACGATATTTAGGGCAGGTCAGGGTGGACTTGACCTTTTTTCGTCTTTAGAATTTTTTTTCTTCCTCTATTGAAAAGAAAATCATTCGAATGAATGAATTTCCGATTGCTACCCCCTATTATCCTCCGCACTATTATATTCAGTTTGACCTTTAATAATTGACGCGTAATCGATACCCCTGTATTTTCGTGTCTAAAAGGAGAAAAACCTGAGGTTTGTAACGTGATCGCAGAAAACCCTCAGGATTCCTTTAGACACGAAACAAGAAGTGTTGGAACGGTTTCCTTTTTTAGCTCACATATATATCCACCCTTTTTTTCGTTTAATTCTTACTTCATTGAACTTGACGAGGACAAACCATTCGGGACTACCGAGTAGACGATAGTGACTTTATTTATCAATTTTATTATTCGGGAAACTTCGAATCAGATTGACGCTATAAATATACCGTTTTTTTATTTTTATTCAATGACTCACAAATTTCCAGTCTTGCAATATAATACTTAAAAACGATATATTTTTCGTTTTCCAAAAAAAAATCTTGTTTTCCCTGTTTCTCAAAAATTTGTAAAAACCCGGAAAAATGAGATATCCGCAATAATTTTTCAATTTAATTTTCCTTAATTCCCCAAATTTGGGAATCTGGAAGTCAGAATAATCTTTATAGAAAGAGAAATGCATGGATTGGCGGTCGCTTTTTTTGCGCGGGGGGACCACGAGTTTTCTCAACTGCGTAGAAAGTCAGTCCCCACCGTTCATCACACCAAACACCGGAGGCACGATTGAGGGGCCAGATAAGTCCGCAGTTTCGTCAACCATTCATTACCTTCACGCGTGTATGGGTTTAATGATGAAACTTTGGGTTACGAAGAGAAATTGATTGGGTTTTTTTTCCTCCAACGAATTTCAATACTTGTAAAGTATTTGGTAATTGATTGGACAGTCAATTCAAACTCTTGGAAATTCAAATTGTCACTTGAAAAGGCCATATGATTTTTTCTCCAAATTAAATTTGGAAAAGCAATGAATTTCGAAGTTATTTACAGATTCTATTAAAAAATCTGCACGCATGTCTCAAATGATAACGAGAAATTAAACCTTATCTCATTTTTTCTGTTCCAGACATCCACAGCGCCATAACAAAGGACCCCGTGACCTCCAACGTACAACATAATTCCACATAATCCCCGTTAAATTTTCTAAAGAGTCCCACCCCGGAGTGATCACAAGAGGCTGCAAGAATAATCCCAAAGCCCAAAAGCCCAAGACGAAGAGTCGTAATAATAATCTAGTAAAAGAAAATAATCTTGAACCGAGTGAACTGCCACAATCGGTGCCATATTCAATGAAAGTGACATGATGACTGAGAGAACCTGTGAGCACAGGTGAAGGGCATCTAAAAAGGAACCTATAAGTTGAGAGTTAAAAATTTTTTGGTGAAAGACGTAAACTGAAAAATCATCCCTGCGATGACATGTGCATAGGTAATCCTCAGGTACTCAGTACCATCAGGGAGTTGATATCAATGTCAATATGCGAGGGGCTGCTAGTGGTTCAGTGTCATCAGTTACCATAAAACCAGGCGGTACAACAGTTCAAAATAATCTAAGAATAACGAACAATATAAATTCGGCCGTTGTGCGGTACAATGATACTCAACTTGTTCATAATCCAAACAATAGTATCAACACTGTTGGAATGGGTACTGGTGATGTTGCACTGGCACCAACATCCAGGATGAGTCCACCAACAAGTATGGAGACAAGTGAGGGTCCACACACAATGGTCAGTGGTTTAACAGTGGCACTTGTTAAGGCTGAAACACCAGAGCACATGGCTGGTACATCAATTGGTCCAACATCAGCGTCAACACTCAGTGGTCCAGTTGGTTCTGGTAATTCGTTGTTTGCCGGTATACCTAGCAGTAATAAACGACCGAGACCCGATGATTGGTTGGCACCAACCAGTCCAAACTCACCGCAAACCTTGTCCAGTCAGCAGTTAATTTATACAACACCGCAGCAACAACTTGATAGAACACCACCACCAGTTTCTACAACACAAACACCACCGCTGAAGCAACAAGCCTTGCAGCAACCCATTACCCTGTCCACCGGGCTCGCCCAGGGACAGCAGACCAGTAATAATGGTTATGTCAGTCCCATGAGTTCGGGAAGCTATGATCCTTATAGTCCAAACGGAAAAATTGGTGAGTTCTTCCTTATTTATTTTATTTTTTCATCGTTTACTTTTATGCCCAACATTTATTACAACTGTCAAACGTTGTTATATCGTTGACATTGCCTATTTCAATTTTGTCACATTAATCAGGTGGCTCGGTAGATTTACGTTGTATCTACCTACAGAAAGCTGTCAATGTGACCAAACATAGCTGTTCCAATATCATAACAACTTGTTAGTGAACAGATAAAATCGACCAGGTCAATACTAGTGGATACAAAAATTATTCGTCTATTAGTTTCCAGAAAGGGTTTAGAATCAAATATAATTGCCCCAATTTTCCACATTTCTGGGCATTTTTACGGTATAATAGATCATTCCGGAGCTTTCGGTTGAGATATGGAATCAAAAGGCGATAGCGAGAGTCTCTGTAGAAAAATCAATTCACTTTACACACGCCATATCTTCTGGGTGTTAGCAATAAAATGAGTTTCAGGTCGATTTCGTAACGAATGCGGGTGAATACTTAGATATTACCGCAAAATACCCACATGTATTACAGGAAAAGCGGGAGTGCCTCTATTTGTTCCAGCCAAATATGAATATAAAAATTACAAAAAATCATTCAAATAGCGCGGATAAAAAAATAGTCGTATTGACATACCCACATGGTGTGTGCCGAATGTCTTTTTTGTTGGAAAAGAGAAGTCTCATTGAACGGGTCTCAACCGTTTCCTGAACAACGAAATAATTGCAATTTCAATCTTGTCCGTATGACAATATTCAATTGAGCGTTTATCAACATTATCCATCTTGGTCATTTAACTTGAAACAACAGTGGTTGATTTTAACGCCATAATCCCACGTTTTCTCGCACGAGAGGAACAGAATGCGGGTGATTACGCAACACCAACTATTTTAGTCTCCATCCAATACACAGGGCTGTATGCTGTCTACAATTCGAGGTAAAGACTCGAGCGTTGAAAATGTGGTATCTACACTTTTAGATATGACAAATTCATTGATGTAGGTCGTTGAGTATTTTATCAGAACTTGTAACAGCTGACCTGAATTGTCCGTGTGTATTTTTTTCTGGTTAAAAATCGCGGAAATTTACCGTTGCTTATTCATTATCTCGATTTTTTATCCTCGTATCAAAGACTGATTTTTTTTTTTTTCATTTCTTCATCAACTGGAACTCATTTATCCTCTATTCGGAGAGTCACGAATTTTAAACTCTCAGCACGAGACTTCTCGGTGTAGCTTTTTAGAATACTGCCTTATATTCACATGATCCACCTTTTCCCACCATTACATTTTTTAGATGGAGGGCAATGATAGCTTCGGTGGAATTAAAGGGCGGTCGATATCTACTGCTCTGACTTGCTAATGCCACACGAGGCCGTCGTGGCTTTCCAATTTTTTTACATTTTAGACTAGGCAATTTTTTTCTTTCTCCGATTCGAGGCGTATTTTTAGTGTTAAATAAAGTGGATATTTCCATTGACCTTTTTTTATTCAGAGACTCTCAGCCATTAGGGTAATTAGCATAAAGTAATTGGGACTCCGTCTGGTATGAATTTAGAACGGGAGAAGATTTCCAATTTTTCGCGGGGTAACGATTTCAATACGAAAAAATTAATGAATCGCTATTTTTGGGGCTCTGGACTTATCTGGAATTCGATTGAACCACGAGTTTTAGATTTTACGTGAAAATTCAAACTTACATTCTAGAACTTCACGGTTTTGTATACAGAAAAACTCTTACAAGGATTTTATTAATTCTTTTATAGCTTTGGAAGTCAGATGCTGCTTGAATCAAATTTATCGAATCCATAATATGTTTAAATGATTATTTATTTCCAAATATCCGTTTTTTGAATTTTCTGAATACTTTTCCCTGAAGTTTTATAAACTTCTGAAAAGTTTCGATCATGAAATTTTGGGAGTAATTAAGTCACGATAAAATGCGTAAACGGTATATTTTTTGCATCAATCCAATTCACAATTCGTAAAAAATTCGAAGAACTAGCAATTCTGGCTAAAAGGGGGAAGATCTCCACGGGTTTTTAAAATGTTATAATATATGATTCAATGAAATTGAGTCTTACTCCTTCATCGATCATTCAGCCCGCTATCTTCATGTTTAATTAACGAGAATGAGTTCAGGGTTATCGTTATGATATCCACATCTGGTCGAGGCAAATAAATAAATTTTTGCAAGTTCATTTGGTCCGACAATGGGGGGCTATTGTTGGGCAATAGTGATACCTGTTCTATGTTTTCCAACTATCGATTCAATTTACCGTGTGAAACGATAGGAAATGTGAAGTGCGGCTTCAGATAATGGAATCACCACCGCCACCTGTAGGTTTACTCCAAAGAAACAATTCCATTGAAACTGGCGGGTCTCTGCAGGTGGCGCTCTTCGTTATTTCTCTATCCGAACATAAAAAATAAATTTAATTTTTTTAATTGAATTTGGACGAACCAGAGTTAAAAATCACGGAGACGGCGATTTTATTTTGAAAATGTATTGTAATTTGATTTTATACAGTCGCGATCAGTTAAGTGAAGCCGATAACGCGAATCCGCGCATTTCAAATAATTTTATTGATATCTCATTGAGAGTTCACTATGATGTACCTATCATAAAAAGATAATGGAAAACATAGATTAGGATTATCAATTAAATGATTATCGATTCATTGAAAATTCAAGCATGTATCTAATTGAATTAATATATATTTTAAATTTTCCTTGCATAAAATTCCGGAATTCCCTTTCTGAAGTTTTTTCTCAGAGATATATAGAAATATTAAAAAAAAAGCTTTGAGTCGAGGGATAAAAGCACTTGAAATCTCTTGAAGTCATTTGAAATTAAATATTCCAAAAAATTATTTGAAATCATTTTGTAATCCCATGAAATCAGCAATCATTGTGTCATGATACTTGTCAACAAATAATCCCCCGGAGTGAGCGCAGGATCTTAAATAAATATTTCTTTGATCGTGGTTTTTATGGTGTTAAAGAAATCCAGTGTGAAGATATATCATACGAGGTTCTATAATCGATGTCGGTGAAGCAAGTAGAGCGTCCAATGAGGTTGGCCTCGACTCCGCTCCTGTCCTCTCCGCTTTCTCACCCATTTTTACTTGTACCATCACTTTTTCTTCACAAGGTGTATCATTCACACACATTTCTCCATCCGTCACATCAAAAAAATTCTCTGATCCGCGACTGCTCCGATATTTAGAAAAATAACATATCAGTTTCCTAATCTAATCTAATCAGGACGCGGTTATATGTCTACCCTGAGCTTTTGTTTACATCTGCTGGTGCGAGTCACCAAGTTAATGAGAACGAGACAAATTATTAAAAAATGATAAACAATGATGTTGGGTTTAATTGGAGAGCAGGAGGTGAATGATTTCATTTTTTTTATCTGACTGGCGGGGGCCCATTGTCTGTGGGCCTTGCGGCAATACCCAAGGCCAGACTATTATTCCCATGAACACCATAAGCACCTCTAAATCATCACAAAAAATTGCGCCTTTTTCAACATTCTAATTAATTTCAATAATGTTTCCGATTTTTTTTTTTTTTTTAATGAGAGTTGTTTCATTATGCGAGGTAGGAGGCATGGTAATTTGAGAAGGTTTGAGCTGCTAGGGTTTCACACTGATGAGGAATCAGAATTTTTTTTTTTTATTTCTTACGACTAGAATGAACCGTCAGATGTATGTGATCTTCTGCAGATATTCATCTTGGTTTTGGGGTTAATATTTGGGATTAATCGTTCTGAATACTTTTTATTCTACTTTATCCTTGACTTCATTACCTGGAAATTAACAATGGATTATTTTTGGTTAATTTCTATTTAATATTACTTTTGTGAATATTCAATGAAGTTTAAATTTTCCAGCCCACTGGGGAAGATGATTATTTTACTCGAGGAAATTTATGTGATCGAAGTTAATTATTACCGCAACATTTTTTTTATTCATGAATTAGGAACTAATCTTAAATTCAGGGAATTGTTGATTCGAATTTTCATATTAACGAGAATTTAATTGAATTTAATGTGGATAATTGCCCCTGAAATGAAACCCAGGTATTTACCTTGAAAATTAAAAATTCGAAACTAAAAATATCTTTCTATTTTGACAGAAGGGGCATGGAAAATTGGAATAAAAAATAAAATATCGCCTTGAAATTGAAAATGCAAAGAAGCGAAAAAAATTGATTACTGTAGATTATCCAGTCGTTAGTAAATTTACTCAACAATAGTATATTTTTCTCTCAGCCTAAAGAATAATCAGCTGAAATTCAAGGTTAAAAGGTTCTCACAAGTATACAATATATTCCACACTGTTCTCATGCACCCATCCTTCCCTCAAATCATCAGTCATAGTACAGGTGTACAGCATTTGCGGTCAGGAGTAAAGACTAGATCTCCTTGAAGAGAGAGTTTCATGTGTGTACACCACAATCATATAAGCTCAGCCACATCATAAAAACCGAATAAAATGAAGTATAAAAATACTTGATAAATCATCAAGAAGTTGAGAAACGGTTACTAAAATTGCCGCGAAGAAATATAACGTTTTTAATTTATTTCCATTAATAATTAATCAGTCCAAAAAAACAGCCAAAAATTTTGAAAATAAACGCGCGACAATAAAAATTTATGAATAATTTTTAGTTGCATTGGAATTCACATGTAAATTGTCTAGAAGGTATAGAGGCAGTGAGAATGACGCATTAAGTGAGGAAGGGGCTGAGGAGGGAATTTGTAGATGGAAGGGAGGATACTATTATAGACAGGCAGGTGCAGGGAACTTCTGGCATTATATATAATGTATATAGGATGGATACATAAAGTTGACGCGCCCTGTTGATCATGCGCGTAACGCTTGCGCAAGTCTCTATGTACTCCGCAACACATGGTAATAATAAACAACACTAGGTGATGTCTGAGGAGAGAGACTCGGGTTTGTTTCCATGTAAAATGCGAAAAACTGTGGG